TGTGTGAGAGGGGAGACTGACAGGTGTGTGAGAGGGGAGACTGACAGGTGTGTGAGAGGGGAGACTGACAGGTGTGTGAGAGGGAGACTGACAGGTGTGTGAGAGGGGAGACTGACAGGTGTGTGAGAGGGGAGACTGACAGGTGTGTGAGTGGGGAGACTGACAGGTGTGTGAGAGGGGAGACTGACAGGTGTGTGAGCAAAACGAAGGAGGTGAGGAAGTTGGGGACGGCGCCCACCAAGTGATTGGCAGCCATGGACCTGCGAGAGTGGACGGCAGCACATGCACAGCACAGGGTGATGCTGACTCAAGGCAGACTCAAGGCCGACTCAAGGCAGAGTCAAGGCAGACTCAAGGCCCAGGGAGGGAGGGAGATGCAGGGGAGCCATTTCATGGATCAGATCAGAATCAGATCAATCAGATCAGATCAGATCAGATCAATCAGATCAGATCAGATCATGTGACGGCTGGAGTGCAGAGAGGGCTGGATGGAAGGTGCTATTGCGACATGGAATGGTGGAGGCAGGGAAGGGGAGGGGAGGGGAGGGGAGGGGTGGATGGGGGGGAGAGAGAGGGTGTGAAGGAAGGGAAGGGAAGGAGGAAGGTCTGACAAGTGATCCAGGTTTGTGAGGGCACTCAGGGCGTCGGGAATGCTGCCCACCACCTCGTTGTTGTCAAGGTGCCTGTGGAGAAGGGGTGGGGAGGCGGCGGGGGAGGAGGGGGGGTATTTTTAAGGACAAAGGTTGTGCGTTGTGCATGTGTGTGTGCGTGCACAAGCGTAGCTGCTTCTATTCCTGCAAAAAGCAGAGCAGCGTGAGCAACGACGGGGAAGGTACAGGTGGAGGGGAGAAGAGCAGGAGCAAGAGGAGGAAGTGGGGAGGAGCAAGGGGAATGAGAGAGCGAGAGCAATGCAATGGCATACGAGTGATAGCTCCAAAAAGTGCGATGTAGAATGGAACAGTGAAAGGATCCATGAACGAATCAAGCAGTGCACTGACAGGGACTGAAGCTGCAGCAATTTGCCCATCTCCGTTGGAATGCTTTCTGCAAGAATGTTCTTGGACAGAAATCTGCACACAGGCAGACAGTAAGGCACAGATGGCATTCTGTTTCTGAGGCGCCTCGAAAATCGACTTTTGAGACTGTTGTGGGCTTCTGTGAGCATGTTGTGGGAGAGACAGCTGCTTGAGGAGCATGCGAGCAGTGCAGTGCAGAGACGGTAAGAGGTGGGGGCGGAAAGGTGGGGCAGGGCGAGGGGGGAGAGAGCAGAGCACAGCATAGGCATCTACGCTCGTATCAAATGAGTCGCATTCCATGCTCCAAGCTCTTATCAATGAATTCGAGCGAGAGAAATCTGTTCTGTTTTGCTTGACTGGAAGAAGGTCTTCTGGACAGAAAGAGCACGGATTAGTTGCGATGTGATGCCCTTCAATGCATGCATGCACTTATCCTTCAGCAGCATTCCCAGTCACTCCACACCTCAAACAGCCTCGCACCTTAAGCCTTGTGCCGTCAGCTTGCTTCTGTGTGGGTGGCGCTCACAGTTGTTGGAGGGAGGTGAGGGCGCCGATGGCGGGGGAATGCCTCCACTGAGCCGGTTGCTGGACAGGTAGCTGAGGGGCGACGTGCCGGCGTTGGGACATGCAGGACGTGGGGCATTGGCGCATGGGGCATGGTGAAGGGAAGGGGGCATGGTGAAGGGAAGGATTGTGAGAAGTGGGGGACATGGGGCAACGATGTGGTACGAGCAGTGAGAGATGAAGAGGCATGAGGCATGACGCCTGTAGCATGACGCCTGTAGCATTGACAGGTGTTCTCGTGGGAGCAAGGAGTGATTCGCGAGTGATTACGCGGAGTGATATGTGGAGTGATATGTGGAGTGATATGCGGTGTGTTACGCGGAGTGATAGTGATATGCGAAGTAATATGTGGAGTGATCGTGATACGCGGAGTAATACGTGGAGAGATACGTAGAGAGATACGTGGAGTGAGACGCAACGCATGCAATGCCGAGTTCAGACACGGAGTCAACTAAAAAATGGCAGAAGGCAAGGCATGTGTGGGTGAGAGACGCGAGGGGGATGAGACGTGAGGGGGGATGAGACGTGAGGGGGATGAGACGCGAGGGAGGTGAGACATGGGAGCACATGCTTCTGCAGAAATGCCAACAGCATGGCACGCACAGCCTTGTAAGAGTGGTCGTGAGCGAAACGCACAGCGCCTGCTTTTTTGCCAAATTCTACCCACCGCTAGCACCCTAGCACTATACATGTCCGATTCGCTGCTGCGGTCGGTCAAAACTCAGATTCTCTCAGCACGCACAGGCTTGTAAGAGCGGTCATGAGCGAAATGGCATCCGGAATTGCCTCGCTCAGTGCGTTTTCCTGCAGGTCGCTGCAGACAAGCGGTGGTGAGAGGGGGATAGAGAGAGAGTTGGAAACGGGAGCGGGAGAAGACGGATGGGGATCGCAGAGGAGGACGATGGAGAGGACTTGTGGGTGCAAGCAAGTGAAGAGTGGGCAAGAGAGACACCGAACTGAACCGAACCGAACCGAACCGAACAGAGCGCAAATCCCAGCCTACAGGCTACAGGTGCGGCCATCTCACAGATAGGCGAGGGAGGCAAGGCCGCTGAAGGAGGCAGGGATGGGGCCGTTGAGGGAGTTGCAGCACAGGTTTGCTGCCCCCACAGAGAAAGAAAGCCCCAGTGGGTGCGCGTGGGGGGGGAGACGGTGGGGAGGGAGGGTAAAGTGCATGAGTGGGCAGTTTTTGGATGCAGGGCCAGGAGCAGGCGAGCTGGTGGAAAAAGGGGGGGGGGGGGGGGAGAGAGGGGGAGCGGGTGAGCGAGGGAGGAGGATCGAGAACGGAGGTTGGCAACAACGGCAACAGAGAGAGAGAGAGAGAGAGAGAGAGAGAGAGAGAGAGAGAGAGAGAGAGAGGAGAGAGAGAGAGAGAGAGAGAGAGCGATGAGAGAGAGAGAGAGAGAGAGAGAGAAGACCGACATGTACCGCCACAGGGCAGAATACGTAGGCTTCTTCCCGCTGGCCGTTGAGACATACGGCTGCCCCTGCGCGGAAGTGCCGGCCTTCCTCAAACTCCTGGCACACAACGGCCGCCCGGCGCCTTTTCAATGCCGACCCTCCTCGTACCAGGCGGCGAAACTACTTAGCCAGTTTCGCCAGCGCTGGTCCGTCACCCTCCAAAGAGGACAGGCACTGGCCTACCTGGGGAAAGTGAACGAGGCGTCACCGCTAGAGTGGCCCCCCTTGGGAGGGCCTGAAGCGGGCATGTCCCTCGGGACTGCTTCGCCGCTCCACGGCCCGCGGGGAAGCGAGGGGGAGGCGGAGGAGTCGACTTTCGTTTTTCAGGCGGCGCGGGGGAGGTGACGCTGGCGGAGAGCCCTCCAGGAAGCCCTCGCGAAGTCGCTTGCTGGGGCCGCGACGGCTCCGGGGGAGAAACGCTGGGCCTGCTGGGACCCGCAACGCCGCCACATCCGCCAGCGGCTGGTGGTGCCGCTGGCGGCAGAGGAGGAGGAGGAGGCAGCCCAGACGGAGGGGGAAGCGCGGGTAACGAGGGAGGCGAAGGACGCAGGAGGAGGAGGGGACGGGGAGGAGAGGACAGGCGGATGGTGGAGGCCAGGATGCGACGGTCGCGGAGGCGAATAACGCATGGGAGATCCCAAGCGCGAGCTTGAAGATGGGGAGCGGGACAGGGTGGACCAGGACCCACCCCCTCCAAGGGCTGCGAACGCTGCAGCTGTTGGAGAGCGCGCGTCAAGACGGCCACCTGCGCCGCCTGCTCGCGAAGCTCAATCCGCAGCACAGAGGTCGGGGACAGCACACTCGACACGCCGGACAAGGGAAAAACGCGTGCCGGCGAAGACGCCCCCTCACACAGAGGACGGCGCGACGGGGACAGCAGCTGCCCCTGCGTCATCCGCACGACGGGAGACACCACCGCGGTGACAGGCGGAGCGACGAGCGCGAGACCGCCACCGCGCAACGCACCGCCCCGAACGCACGCGAGCGAGCAACGGAGACCAAACGTATCGGGGGCGGACGGAGACAGCGGGACAAACATGAAGTTGGCAACCAAGGGAGGCCGCTCCTTCCGCCGTACCGCGGAACGACTGCAGCGCGAGGCGAACAGACTCGCGGCAACAACTGGGCAGCCGGCCAACGAACGGCGCGACGCACAAACACACCTGCAACTAGCAATGCTGGGGTCGCGGGACGGTCAGGCCGATGTCGAGCTAGCGAAGGGAAGCGCAGGGCAGACATAACAAGTGGAGCAGTTAGAGGACGGGCTGGACTGGGGAGGAAGGAGGAGTTGGAACAGCCGCTGATTATCAGATCACAAATGACCCCAGTTATACCCCCCCAGCGGGGGTAAACTGGGAAGGCGACTCGGAAGAGGAAATTTCAGACGAATCCCCTGCCCGAGGCGCGAATGTGGCAGCACATTCCACACGACGGGCCGCCCCATCCAATACCCGCCGCGGCCCGGCAGGTTCCCGCCGGCCAACGCCAGCAAGGCGTGTCCTCTCCCCCCTGACACTCGCCAAGCGCGAAGACCTGTTCGCGAATGTCGGGGAGTGGGACATCGCGAAGTTGCGAGATTGTCGCATGCCACCCCTAGCCCGTCGCCTCCACGCGAAATCCAGGCGGCTTTCGCTCCTGCCTCCTGACACCGCTCGTCCACCTGTCCCGGGCACCCCACTCGCAAAACGGATGGCGCCTGCCTCCTTTTTCTGCCGCGCCTGACCCTGGCGACAGCTTCGACGAGGAAACCCGACTGGGAGAGCATGTTACGACGTCTGCGGGATTTCGCCACGGGGGAATGGGCGACACTCTATGAAGAGGCTATCGCCTCTGTGCGTTACCACAGCCCCCCACGACACGCAAACGACACTGCGGGCCAGATCGCTAGGGCGGAAACTATCAGAAACTGAGAACTTGATTGATTAAAATGAGCAAGAGCATACATCCTTAAGTACCGAGCATCGGAGAGGATGGGAAGGGATAAGGGAGAATCGGAGGGAATCCCAAGGGAATCCTCCCAAATCGTGGGGATTTGGGATGGATTGGGTTGGGATAGGTTGGGGATGAAAACATATCTACACCCAACCTAACAAATATGAGTATCCTAAAACCAACAAAGTGTCAACACACAAAATTGTGCCAACCGAATTGCAGCCTATCTCTAACACACCCCCTAGGCTGCAACGTCGGAAGCCGTAGGGACGCCAAGTCCCATGGTACGGAGGAGACGATAGTGATCACGGCGTCCAAGAGCCTTCGTAAACAAGTCGGCGAGGTTGCAGTCAGAGGAAATATGCTTGACGCACAACTGCCCTCGCTGGACGAGCTCGCGCATGAAGAAGTGTCTCAATTCGATGTGCTTGGTTCGTTGGTGGAAGACAGGATCTTTGGTGAGGTGGATAGTGCTCTCGTTATCACACCACAGAGTCGGGGTCTGCTGAGGATACCCGAGCTCAGCCATGAGGTAGGTAAGCCATCGAGCTTCTTGGGCTGCCATGGTGCCTGCGTATAACTCAGCTTCGCAAGATGACAATGAGACGGATGATGAGCGTGTAGATCGCCAGCTGATGACACCACTGCCAAGGGTGAAGCAATAGCCTTGGGAAGAGCGGCGGTCAGCTTGATCATCAGCCCATGAGGAGTCGCTGTATCCCTCGAGGTGAGGAGGGGTCGTGCCACCGAAAGTGAGGACGTAGTCCTTGGTGGCTTGGAGGTAGCGAAGGACGCGCTTAGCAGCCGACCAGTGGCGATTGGTGTATCGACCGGCAGCAACGTAACGCGAGAGCACACTGATGGGGTAGGCGAGGTCGGGCCTTGTGCACATCATCGCATACATGAGTGATCCGACGAGCTCGGGGTATGCCTCATCACAAGGCTCAGGCGATGGAATTGATGGAGCGGTCAGATCATGCTGCAAGGGAAGGGGAGTGGCCACTGGCTTGGCGTTGTCCATGGCAAAACGCTTGAGGACGTTGTTCACATAGAACTCTTGAGAGAGAGTGATGGTTCGAGCTTCGCGATCCCGCGAGATTTCCATCCAAGGTAGTTCTTGAGTTCACCGAGGTCCTTCATGGCGAGAGCGTCCCCAAGAGCTTGCTTAACAGCTGCCAGCTGATCGGAGTCCTTGGAGACGAGAATCATGTCGTCAACGTAGACAAGGATGAAGAACGGGCTGTCGTTCTTGCGAATGAAGAGACTCGGATCGGCTGAGGAGGGGTGGAAGTCGAGTGACTCGAGGGTTGCTTTCAGCTTCTTGTGCCATTCCCGAGGAGCCTGCTTCAACCCGTAGACTGGTCGATTCAGCTTCCAGACCGTGCCGGGTGGAAAGGGTAAGGGAAATCCTTGAGGACGTTCCATGTAGATGTCCTCGGGGAGATCCCCCTTGGAGAAATGCAGCAGAGACGTCCATGGAGTGAACGTCAAAGTTGCATCGAGCAGCGATGTCCAGCAGAGTCCGAAGAGTGGGCAGTTTGGCTGTCGGAGAGAATGTGTCGAAGAAGTCCAGGCCCTTCTTCTGCGTGAAGCCTTTTGCACAGTATCGCGCCTTGAAGACTGGGAGTTCGCCAGGCAGCTGCTTGACGCGAAAAACCCATTTGCCACGGACAATGTTAACTCCTCGCGGAGGAGAGACGTCCGTGAAAGAGTTGTTGCGAATGAATGCTTCACACTCCGCGATCATGGCCTGCGAGCCACTTGGGGAGTGTGGTCCAGAGATGGCTTCATCATATGAGTTCGGGGTCGGGATGGATGGATTTTCCGAGAAGTTAAGAGTTGGAGCGTCGGCAAGGTCGGGGAAGAGATGGCAGAGCTGACGGATGGCAGCATTGATCTCAATCAGCTCCTCATGCCTATCCTCCAAGAGGCCAGGCATGGATGCACCCCCGGCAGGAGGAGGCGGATTGAGGGAGATGCGAACAGAGAGGGCGAGAGGCGGAGCGGGACCATGAGAGCGGGTGCGGTGAGCAATAGGGACAGGAGAGGAGGGAGGTGGCGGGGAGCAGGTGGGACATCGACATAAGAGCGTCCGTGGCGACGGCGACGATAGGTGATGGGCGAGTCGGGAGGAGAGGTGGAGGTTGGAGGCGGAAGCGGAGGTGAAGGCGGGGAGGGAGGCGCGGGGCAGGGGGAGCCACAGAAGGAGAGGGAGGTGGAGGGGCAGCTGCAGGAGCGGGTGCAGGGGGGAAGTGCAGGCGCGGGCGGAGGTGAACGGGCAACTGAGCCAGTGGGCGAAGAGGGGTGAGAGAGAGTGGAAGGAGATGGGGAAGGTGAGAGTGAGGGGCCGCAGGAGCAGCAGAGGGAGGAGGTGGGGTGGGTGAAGTATCGAAATCGGCCCACACAAGCGAAGGTGGAGCGGTGGGGGGTGGTGAAGAGAGGTAAAAAGGGCGACTCTCGTCAAAGGCGACATCGCGGCTGCGAATGAGCTGATTGGTGGAGAGATTGAGGAAAAGGTAATCGGGAGAGTCCAGGTTGTGGCCGAGGTAGACACAGGGTTGAGCTTTGGGTGCAAATTTGCCGCCGTGGGTGCGACGTTCCTGAGGGTTGAGGAGGACATAAGCTGTACACCCCCATACGCGGAGAGGACGTGCACTGGGCTTGGTGCCGGTCCACAGTTCAGCGGGAGTGATGGCAGGCCGAAGAGGGTGAGGGTGAAGGTTGTACAGCAGCGTGGCATGAAGGAGGGCGTAACCCCAAAGGGAAGGTGGTGCACCAGCGTGAGTGAGAGGACAGCGAGCGATTTGCACGAGAGTGCGATTGCGACTTTCGGCAATGCCATTCTGCTGCGGACTGTGGGGAAGGGTGAAGGTCTGGCGAATGCCTTGGGAGGCACAGAACGCTTGAAGGGAATGGTTTCGAAATTCGCCACCGCCATCGGAATGGAGGCACTTGACTGAAGTGCGGAAATGATTTTGGGCTTGTCGAAGCCATGCGATGACGACATCTGGAACAGCTGCTTTGGAGGAGAGTAGGTGGACGGAGGCATAGCGAGAGTGATCGTCAACGAGCACTAGGAAGTAAGAGTGCCCGCCACGAGAGCGGACTGGAGCTGGGCCCCAGACGTCCATGTGGACGAGGTCAAGCGGGGCGGCTGCAGCAGAGGGCGAGGAAGGGTGAGGCAACTGGCGTAGTTTGCTTTGCGCGCAGTCCAAGCATGGAGGAGCGGGAGAAGTGGAGGGTGGAGGAAGTGTGTCGGGCAGGTGAAGAAGCAACTTCTTAGACGCAAGCTCGGAGAGCATGCGGAAGTTGGGATGCCCAAGACGATGGTGGTAAAGAATGGTTGGATCGGTGAGCTGACGGCAGGAGCACGATGATGTGGTGGAGGTAGAGTGTGCTTCTGTGGAAGATGGAGGTACTTGGAGTGTGTAGAGGTTGTTGGCGGTCAGTGTGAAGCGTGCAAGTAGGGCATTGGTGGTGGGCTGAAGGAGATCACAGTGATTGGAATGAGCTGGGAAGATAGTGGTTACCCCTGCTCGTTGAATCTCATGTTGTGCAAGTAAGTTGTGCCGAAGAGTGGGCACGCATATGCCAGTGACTGTGCCAGATGGGAAGGCTGGGCATGGAAGAGTGGAGGAACCATGGGCGACAGTTGTGAAGCTGGAGTCAGCGCCCAGAAGAGGAATGGGTGCTTGGTATGGTTTGAAAGACTCTTTGTCTCGGAGGACCGTGTGGGTTGCGCCACTGTCCAGGACGAATTGAAGTTGTTTAGATGGTGTTTGTGGAGACGTCGAGTACTGGGAACTGGTTTCATTGATCATGGGAAGGCCAGGGAACAACAGGTTGAGACGAACATCAGGACTAGGGGCATGAACGGCTGAGTCCTGACTATCCTGTGCCTCAACCTGGTTGAGCTGGCGCATGCGAAGCCAGTTGGGCGGCTTGGAGTTGATACCATTCTTGGCGAACCAGTCGTCGTCCTTCTTTTTGAAACAGGTGGCGAGCGGGTGATTGGTGCCGCCGCACACCTGACCCGCACGGGGTCCCATTTTGATGACGTAAGGACAGGGTGGGTAGCGGTTACGAGTGGGTGGCGGATTGGGACGCGATGCTGGAGCCGGGACAGGAGCGCGAAGCGCATTTGCACGAGCCTGCGCAGTGTTGTCTTTTTCAGCAGAGAGAAGTGCGGAAGAGACTTTGGCAAAGGTTAGCTCTTCTGGCGGGAGATGGAGAAGCATGGAGCGGGTGACATTGTAAGAGGGGGTCAGCCCAACAAGCAGAGCTGCTGCAGGGGCTTGCTCTGGGAAGACAATGCCGAGTTCCTTCAGCTCCTGATGAATCCCTTGAATTTCAGCGACGTAATCTGCCATTCCAGGGCACTCCTCCAGACGCACTTGAAACATGCGGGGGATGAGGATCGCCACCCCCACAGCGGTTTTGTTGAGGAAGCGGTCGTTGAGGTACTCCCAGATGGCGTGCGCGGAGGGGTAGTTATGGTAAGTTTTGACGAGCTCGGAAGGGGTAGTGCCGACGAAGACGCCAATGATAGCGGCGTCGGCTTGCTCCCACACGCTGTAAGATTCCTCATACTTGGACATGGATTCCTCATGGGTTTTTAACTCTTCCCCTGTGGCTGTGGCCGAGAGCTTCTTGGGAAGGATCGGCATCTTTCCTTTGCCGCGATTGAGGAGGACATCCTTGAGGCAAATCCCCTCAATTTTGCGGCTTAGGAGATGCTTATCAACCCCATAGCTCCACTCCTTGAAGTTAGGGCTTGAGCCATTTGGGTCGAGGCGTAAGGGAGTGATCGGGTTTGAGAGAGACGCGGAAGGATATGCCATGATGCTCCAAGGACCCTTTCTCCGCGCGTAGCGCAGCTCTTAAGTCGCCGATAGGCACTTCGGGCGCGCAGCGCGGGCTCAGCGAAAAACAGGGTTTCCCTTTGCGGATTTTCAACACTCGGAGAAGAGGAATAGCCGATAAAGAGAGAAATCTGAACGCCAAAAATCTATGGAAACCCGCGATGTGCTGCTGCAATCCCGCTGCTCCGCGACCCCCCCTTTTCCGCTTCGCCGCTGCCCCCTTTCCGCTTCGCCGCTGCCCCCTTTCCGCTTCGCCGCTGCCCCTTTTCCGCTTCGCCGCTGCCCCCTTTCCGCTTCGCCGTTGCACCCCCCCGCTGTTGCAAGGGCGACGGGCGACAGCCCGTCCAGCTTCGACGAGCAGATGCGGGGCGACGGGCTCAGCCCGATCAGGTGCGACGAGCAGATGCGGGGCGACGGGCTCAGCCCGATCAGGTGCGACGAGCAGATGCGGGGCGACGGGCTCAGCCCGATCAGGTGCGACGAGCAGATGCGGGGCGACGGGCTCAGCCCGATAAGAAGCGCCGCGCTGAGTTGAGGCGACTAGAAAAGCTTTGCGTCGTAAGACGCAAATGCTAGGCTCCAACGGAGCGAGAGGATCAAGAGCCGCTTAGGCGGAAACGAGCTCTGATACCATATCAGAAACTGAGAACTTGATTGATTAAAATGAGCAAGAGCATACATCCTTAAGTACCGAGCATCGGAGAGGATGGGAAGGGATAAGGGAGAATCGGAGGGAATCCCAAGGGAATCCTCCCAAATCGTGGGGATTTGGGATGGATTGGGTTGGGATAGGTTGGGGATGAAAACATAGCTACACCCAACCTAACAAATATGAGTATCCCTAAAACCAACAAAGTGTCAACACACAAAATTGTGCCAACCGAATTGCAGCCTATCTCTAACAGAAACCCTGGCTAAGCGAGGGAACCTTCGCAAAGCGCTCCAGGCCCTCGAATCCACCCCGGTATGCGAGCCGAGTGGGGAAATACTTAGCGCCCTACTGGCTAAGCACCCACGTGCTGAACGCGCCCTTCCAGGGTGGACCCAACCACACCAACACCAACCCAGAGCCGCCAATCCAGCCGCCATCTCTACCGCTACTGGCGCTCCTGCTGAGACAGCCGAGGAGCATCACCTCGCCATCACAGTCGCTGAGCTGAAGGCCCTGCTACGACGCTGCCCGAACGGCGTGGGTGCAGGGCCAACGGGAATGTGTTTTGAACACATCCGCGAAAGCGCCGTTACCAATGTCGACGTCCTACAGCACCTTACGACGCTAGTAAACGCGGCGCTAGCCGGGAACGTACCTCCTGAGGCGACGGAGCTGCTCACCACATCGCGGCTGCTGCCGTTCCAGAAGCCGGGGGGCGGGGTCCGGCCCATAGCAGTGGGGGAATGCCTCTTTCGCATCTTGGGCAAGGCCGCCCTCTCGCTCCTTGCGGAAACCGCCCAACAGCACTTCCTCCCCCTCCAATACGGGGTGGCGGTGAAAGGCGGAGGCGAGACCGTCATCCACGTCGGACGCTCGCACCTACAGCTGCACCCGGACCACCTGGTGCTGCAGGTTGACATGACCAACGCGTTCAACTCAGTTGAACGCCTGGCCTTCTTCACCGCCATCCGGAACAGCCCACTCAAGCGGCTGCTGCCCCTGGCCAGACTCTCATACGGCAGGGCCTCATCCCTCCTCCTGGACCCCGCCTACGGCGCCCCCTCCCTCAGCAGCGAACGGGGGGTGCGGCAAGGAGACCCCCTGGGTCCCCTGCTATTCGCCATGGCCATGCACCCGGCCCTGAAGCGGACGGCGGAGGACTACCCGAGCGTCCTCACGCTGGCGTACGCAGACGACGTCACCTTCATTGGAACGCCGTCCGAGTGCGCGGCGGCCTTCTACGCATTCAGCGGCCGCATAGCAGCAGCAGGCCTTGAATGCAACCCCGAAAAATGCGGGGCCTGGTCGGCAGCGGAGGTGGACCCCGAGCACATCCCCGCAGGGATACCCCTCCGAACAGACGCGGTGCGCATCCTCGGCAGCCCCATCGGGACACCGTCAGGGTGCGAGCGCCTGATGAGGGCGGCCTTGCTTAAAGCGGCCTCAGCGCTCCCGCTCCTCGAGCAACTACAGCCGCAAATAGCGATGCTGCTACTTAACAAATGCGTCACGCGGCGAGCCTCCTACCTGCTCCGGACGACGCCACCGGGCACGCTCCCGCCCCACGACTGGACAGCGTGGGGCAAACGTCTCCTGGCTGCCGCCCTGACTGCATGTGACCTGAAACAGCCTAACACTCCAGAGGACCAGGACCTCCTCTGGCGGCAGTCCACTCTGCCCATCTCCATCGGAGGCCTAGGCCTGCTCGACCTAGTGGTGGAAGGAGGATTTGCATACCTGGCCTCCACCGTACAGGCAGGCGACCTTCTCCGCACTCTTGACACCACCGCGCTATCACCCCTCGGAACCGCACGGGACCTCCTGTCCCCACCCTACACCGCGCCAATCCCCCTGCACCTCCTCCTCACTCACCTGGAAGCCGCCCTGCCACCAGCCGCACAAGCCGTCCTGCGGCAGCCGCGGGAGGAGTCAGCACCAAAACTGCAGCACGCCCTTGCTCTTGAGGTGCATGGGGCACGACACGCCGCTCTGGTCGCGGAATCCCGCGCACTGGCCCTCAACCCCAACATGGGCCATACGCAGCGCCTACTGTCGCTGCTAGGTCCGGGGGCGGGCGACTGGCTGCTGGCCATCCCCTTCTGCCCGGACCTCTCGATGAGCAAGGGACAGTTCGCCACAGCCCTGTCCTTCCGGATGGGGCTGCAGCACTCCCTGCCCGACAACTGCAACTGCAGGGAAAAAAGGGAGCTCAAGGATAAGAGGCTGCCCAACCACCTACTGAGGTGCACCCTCGGTGGCGGACCCATCCGGGTACACAACGCCCTGGTGAACCTGGGGGTGCGCCTCGCCAGCGAGGCACACTTCGTGGTGCACAAGGAATCGACCCTATACCTACCCGAGACGACCCAACGCCGCGCCGACATCACCCTCCGAGAACCGGACTCAGGCGCGGTATGGGTCTGCGACGTCACTGTCACCGACCCCATCTCCTCCAGGGACCCAACAGCAAGGAAGGGGACAGGATGGATGGCGGCTGAGATGCAGGACAAGAAAAGGGACCTGTACGACGAAAGACTCACCTTCGTCAAAGTCCTGGGTGTGGCAACGGAGACATACGGGTGCTGCAGCAGCGACACCCGGGAACTCCTCCGCCTGCTGGCGGTAGTAGCCGCCCGGGAGAATCACCATGCAGACGAAAAGTCGGCGGTGACCAAGAAGCTGATACATTCCTTCCGACAGAGGTGGTCAGTAACACTACAGCGGCAGCAAGCCATAACCTTGCATGCAAAGATCGGGCAGGCGTCCGGGGGAGCCTTCCACCACGAGCGCCCAATGGAGGAGCCGCTCACCTGGGGTGAACTTGAATCGACAATTGAACCTACCTTCGAGGGGTGGCCCGGGCAACAGTAGGATGTCTGGGAGCCCATTGTCTCACATGGACCAGTGTATGCCATTTGTACCCTTTATAAGGATAATACGAAGGACCGTTCGAGAGAGAGAGAGAGAGAGAGAGAGAGAGAGAGAGAGAGAGAGAGAGAGAGAGAGAGAGAGAGAGAGAGAGAGAGAGAGAGAGAGAGCCCATGGTATATAAGGCTCTTCCACCCATCCTAGAGTTCATTATTTAGTTTTGAGTTGAGTTCTTCATCCGGTCCCTGCAGCGGCGCTCGCGCCGGCGGCCTTCGGCCGCCGTCGCTCGCGGCGCGGCCTCCGGCCGCGCAGGAGGGCAGAGAAGGGGCGGGGATAGGGATCCACTCCAAAACCAGGGACGTTACAGCATACAAGCATGCCTCTACAGGGGGCTGCAACCTAGCAAATAGCCTATGGCTACGGCGCCACCCACGGCGCACGATGACGGGGACCTGGCCTACACGCCAGACAACCGCCCACCTACTACACCCCCAAAGCCGACGGCGGGACAAGGGCCCCGGCCCGACTCTCCAACGCCCGAAGCACCGCCGCGCAAGCGGCCAAGATCGCCGGGCGCTGATTCGCCACGAGCGACCGATTCAACTCATCAACGGCGCGAGGAGCGGGATCCAGCTCCCCCGCCTCTGCTCCTGGCGGCAACCCATAGGCCAGCCGCCAGAGGAGTAGCGACGCGGCCTCCATCGCGCGCCGCTGCTGGCGGCGAGACATCGCGGGCCGCCACGACCGACCCGCCTCAGGCTTCCGTGGAGGCGCCTGCAACGGCGGTGGGCGGAGACAATCCAGCACCTCCGCCACCGCGCCAATACACGCGACGACGCCGGCCATCGCCTCTACTGGCGAGAACGCGTGCGGCGACGCCAGGCGGACAGGCGGACGAGGAACCGGCGGCGGGTCGCCGAGCACATCCACTGGTGTCGGCGGCATACCCCGCCCCACCCGCAAACCCGTCTCCTGAGGACGAACGGAGAGGGGCGGAGGGGGATCCCTTCGTCTTCCGGGCACTGCAGTCGGAGGTGACCCTGCCCGAGAGCCCGTCGCAGCGCCCCCGCGGGGACGTTTCATTGGACGAAACGGCAGGGGCGGAGACCCCGCGGACACACCCTGACCCGATACGACGCCGCGTCCGACAGCGGCTGGTGGTCCCGCTGGTGATTTCGGAGGAGGCAGAGGGGGCGGCTGGAGAACCCCGCGGGGAGAGGAGTCGGGACCACCGGCGAGCCCCCCCGATGGAGGGGGAGCCAGAGGGGCTAGAGGGACGGGAAGAGGCGACGGCGGAAGCCGAGACGGAGACGGAAACGACGACGGCTGAGCTGGCGACGGGGCAGCTGGGCGACGCGGGGAGCGATCCATGGGACTTCCCCCGAAACCCTCCCGCCCAATCGCCAGCGCGGGCGCATGCGACGGCGGAGAACACGCCACCCGGTCGCCAACAGCGGACCGAGGCAGCCGCAGGAGCTGCTCGAGGGCGCCCGCGATCGCTGCCACCTGGGCCTGCTGCTGCCGAAACTCCAAGCGCAGCTGAGACGTTGGCGACAGAGCCAGCGAGACGCCGGAAGGGGAACCCACCGGCGACGGGGACGCCTCCGCCTCACGTAGGGGCAGGCGCGAGGGGGAGAAGAGCAACCCCTGCGTCATCTCTAGCGCAGCCGGAAAGACGCGCCCCGCACACGCGAGCCACGGCCCGCGCAAGTACAACCGCGACCCCGGGGGGGGAACGGGCAAGAAGCACAACCCGAGGGCACAGAGGAACGAGGGGCGGACGAGGGCTCGGGCGAGCGACGACAGGCGCTGCAACCTTCCGCGGCGTCGCCGCGCGTCTACAACGCGACGATCGGCGACGGGGAGCACACCCAGCCGCTGCAGCAAACGACGCTGATATGGCGACGGAGTCAGAAGCGGGCGTAGACGGAGGAACGGACCGAGGGATGGAAAATCGGCTAAGTGCGGGCACTCCAGTTGCAGACACACCAGGAGGAGGAGCTACGAGGGGAGCAGCAGAAGGGAACACGGAGGGAGCTGATGACGAGGACGATGAAATTCAAAACGCAAACGACCCCACTTATACCCCCCCAATCGGGGTAAACTGGGAAGGCGCCCCAGACGAGGGAGATTTGGAGGACTCCCCCGCCCGAGACGCAAATGTGCGGCCCGGCCAACCCAACCGACGAGCCGCCACATCCAACACCCGCCGCGGCTCGACAGTCGCCCGCAGACCAACCCCTGCAGCGCGGGTACTATCCCCTCTGGCGTTGGCGAAGAACGACGAACTCTTCGCCAAAGTATGCGAGTGGGACATGACCGTGCTCCGCGACTCCAGGCTACCACCCCTGGCACGTCGCCTACCGCGCGAAATCCTGGCGGAATTCGCGTCCTGCCTGCTGACACCGCTGCTACACCTCGCGCGTAACAGGGACAGCGAAGGAGGTTGGCGCCTGTTACTCCTCCTCCCTCGCCTGACACTCGCAACCACGTCAACGAGGAAGCCGGACTGGAACGGAATGTTACGACGCTGTCGCAAATTCGCCACCGGCGCCTGGGAGTCACTGTACGACGAGGCCGTGACCTCGATTTCATTACCACGACCCCCACGCCACGCGAATGACACCGCCGGGCACTTAGCCCGAGCGGAAACACTCACTAAGCGCGGGAACCTGCGGAAGGCCCTCCAGGCCCTGGAATCCACCCCGGTGTGTGAACCCACCCTGGAGACACTCAACGCCCTCCGAGACAAACACCCCGCCGCCGAACACGCCCTCCCCAACTGGGCGACATTCCTAAGCACACCACCCACCGACGCCATTACAGCGCCGCAGCAGCCGCTACTCACCATCACCCCACGAGAGCTCAGAACCGTACTACGACGGAGCCCGAATGGGGTCGGGGCGGGGCCAAGCGGTATGTGCTTCGAACATCTGCGGGACGCAGCCGCCTCGAACGCTGACGTCCTGAACCTGCTCACAGAAGTAACCAACGCGGCACTCGCAGGGCAAGTGCCGCTAGAGGCGGCGGACCTCCTCACCACCTCGAGACTGCTGGCATTCACCAAACCCGACGGCGGAACCAGGCCCATCGCCATCGGCGAATGCCTACTACGCCTCTTCGGCAAAGCCAGCCTGCACCTCACGACGGCCCTGGCCCAAGCCCACTTCGCGCCCCTGCAGTTCGGAGTGGCGATGAAAGGAGGGGGCGAGACGGCGGTGCACGCAACAAGAACCCACCTCGAACAACACCCCGAGCACCTCCTCCTCCAGGTGGACTTCTCCAACGCGTTCAACTCGGTTGAACGCATCGCCTTCTTCCGCGCCCTACGCGACAGCCCTCTCAAAGGGCTGCTGCCCCTGACCCGCCTCTCCTATGGAAGGCCATCGAGCCTGCTGCTCGACCACGCGTTCGGTGCTGACCCGCTCGTCAGCGAGCGGGGCGTACGGCAAGGTGACCCACTAGGCCCCATGCTGTTCGCCCTCGCCCTCCACCAGGCGCTGACCACGACAGCAGAGGAGTACCCTGACGTCCTCATACTGGCATACGCCGACGACGTGACCATCATCGGCCCGCCGCCGGCATGCGCAGCTGCCTTCTATGCCCTCACAGGCCGGGCAGCGGCGGTTGGACTCACCTGCAACGCCAGCAAGTGCGCGGCCTGGTCACCCGCACCGGTGGACCCCGCGCTCATCCCGGCCGGAGTACCACTTACCCACGACGCAATCAAGGTCCTGGGCAGCCCCATCGGCACCACCCACGGATGCGGGGACATCATCCGCCGCACGCTCGAAAAAGCGGCAGCGGCGCTCCCCCTGGTGGAGCAACTACACCCGCAGGTCGCGCTGCTGCTCCTCACCCGCTGCATCACGAGGAGGGCATCCTACCTCCTCCGCACCACCCCCACCAACCTTCTCCCCCCCGAGGAATGGACGAAGTGGGGGAAGTCCCTGCTGGTAGCAGCGCTCAAGTCGTGCGAGCTCCAGCAGCCACGGGACGCTGAAGGCCGAGACCTCCTCTGGCGACAGGCAACCCTGCCGATCACCATAGGAGGCCTCGGCCTCATTGACCCCGCCACGGAAGGCAGCTACAGCTACCTGGCCTCCGCACTACAGGCCGGTGACCTCCTCCGCTCCATGGAACCCCCTGACCCCTCACCCCTCGCCGACCTCCTCCACCTCCTCACTCCGCCCTTCACCGCCGAAACGCCCCTTCACCACCTGCTCAACGGCCTGGCAGCGGCACTCCCCGAACCAGCGCAGCCAACACTCACCCGCCCGCGCGACGAACCCGGCGCCAAGCTCCAGCATGCCCTAGCACTGGAGGTACATGGGGCCAGGCACGCACGGCTAGTGGCAGACTCCAGACACATGCCACTCAATCCCCTCCTGGGTCACACCCAGCGCCTCCTCTCCCTGCTCGGGCCAGGGGCAGGGGACTGGCTGGTCGCCATCCCCTTCTCCCCGGACCTATGCATGAGCAAGGGACAATTTGCCACGGCCCTAGCCTTCCGCATGGGCCTGCAGCACTCCCTACCCGGCAAATGCAACTGCCGCGACAAGCATGAGCTACCAGACAACCGGCTGCCCAACCACATGCTACGATGCACCCTGGGCGGGGGCCCAAAGCGGACCCACGACGCGCTCGTGAACCTCGGGATGCGACTGGCCCGAGAATCCCACTTCGTGGCCCACATGGAATCCACGCTCTACTTACCAGAAACTGCCCAACGCCGCGCCGACATCACCCTCCGATGCCCGGACTCAGGCGCGGTGTGGGTCTGTGACGTCACAGTCACCGACCCCATCTCAACCCGCGACCCAACAGCACGGAAAGGGACGGGGTGGATGGCGGCAGAAATGCAAGGCAAGAAGCGAGACCTGTACGACGAACGACTCACCTTTGTGAAGGTGCTGGGAGTCGCCACTGAGACATACGGTTGCTGCTCCCCCGACACACTCGAGTTCCTCCGAGTACTGGCCGCCCTCTCAGCTCGCCAGAACCACCAGGCCGACGAAAAGTCAGCGGTGGCAAAGAAGGTGCTGCACAACTACCGCCAGAGGTGGTCAGTCACCCTCCAGCGGCAGCAGGCAATCACCCTCCATGCGAAGATTGGCCAGGTGACAGGCCAAGCCTTCAGCCACGACCGCCCCCTAGACGAACCTCTTACCTAGGGAGAACTGGAAGCCACCATTGAACCTACCTGCGACAGGTGGCCCGGGCAGCAGTAGGATGCTCGGGGACACCAGGACATACGTAACCCTGTTTGTACCTCTGTACCCCTTATAAACATAATAAAGGGCCGGTTGAGAGAGAGTGAGACCTCTGCTCTTTGCCGCCGCCATGCATCCCGCCCTGCGAGAGACCGCCCAAGCGTTTCCCCGCGTCCTCTGCCTGGCATACGCCGACGACATCACCTTGATGGGGGAGCCGGCCGCATGCACAGCCGCATTCGCCCACCTCACCCACGCGCTTCTTCCTCTCGGCCTGACCCACAACCCGGCTAAGTGCGCAGCATGGTCCGCGGCCCATCCCCCCCCCGACTCCCTCCCCCCCGGGATCCCCTTCTGCGCCTCCGGGTTGCGGATCCTGGGCAGCCATATCGGTCCCCCAGATGCAGCAGCCAGCTTCCTGCGTGAGCAACTGGCCGCAATGGCCAAGCCACTGCCAACCCTGGCAGCCATGGACCCCCAGGCCGCCAGCCTCCTCCTCCACCGCTGCGTCTCTCGTCGGGTCTCCTACCTGACCCGCACGACGCCGCTGAACCTGCTCCCAGCACAGGAGTGGTCCCAGTGGGGGCAGCAACTCTACCTCACCCTCCTGAGGGCCTGCCATCTCCAGCTCCCACGGGGGGAACAGGAGATGTCGCGCACTTGGCAACAGGCCTCGCTCCCCCCCTCCCTCGGAGGGCTCGGCTTGACGGACCCCACAGTGGAGGGACCCCATGCCCTCCTCACCAGCGTCATCCACGCCCAACGGCTCCTGGCCTCCCTCGCCCCAGACCCATCCGCCCCCCTCGGGACAGTGGCCCGCTCCCTCGCACCACCCTACACTAGCCCCACCCCCCTCCACACCTGGCTAGCTGAGTGCGAGGCGGCGCTGCCAGCCACCGCCCGGGAACTCCTGCGCGCCGAGCCCTCGGAACCATCCGAAGCTCCGCTCCAGCACCGCCTCGCCCTAGAGGTCCACGCTGCCCGGTTCGCCGAGCAGCTAGAATCGACCAGGCACATGGAGCTAAACCCCCTCAGCGGTCACACGCAGCGGCTCCTCTCCCTCACAGGGTACGGAGCAGGGGACTGGCTCCTCGCAGTCCCCCTCTTCCCATCACTCAGGCTGGCACCTCCTCACTTCGCCATAGCCCTCGCCTTCCGCCTGGGCCTCCCTTTCCCCACGCCAAAAGTGTGCAATTGCGCCAAGAAGACCGAGATCCCGGACCCACGGCTCCCCAACCACTTATTCCGCTGCGGGACGGGGCACGGACGCACCGATACACACAACGCCCTCCGGGATGAATGCATCCGCATGGGCCAAGACGCACAACTCATTGTCTCGAAAGAAACAGCCCTATACAACCCGGTCGACGGCAAGACAGCCGACCTAGCCATCCGGGACCGGGACTCAGGGGCGGTCCGGATCTGCGACGTCACAGTCACGGACCCAGTCAGCTCCAGGGACCCCCTCGCCCGCAAGGGACGCGGTTACATGGCCAGGGAGCAGGCGGACAAGAAGATCGACATGTACCGCCACAGGGCAGAGTACGTCGGCTTCTTCCCGCTTGTTGTCGAGACATACGGCTGCCCTTGCACGGAAGTGCCGGTCTTCCTCAAACTTTTAGCCCACACGGCGGCCCGGCGCCTCTTCAACGCCGACCCCAGCTCTTACCAGGCGGCGAAACTACTCAACCAGTTTCGCCAGCGCTGGTCAGTCACCCTCCAACGGGGACAGGCACTAACCTACCTGGGGAAGGTGAACGAAGTGTCACCGCTGGAGTGGCCCCCCTTGGGGGGACCCGATGCGGGCATGTCCCTCGGGGACTGCTTCGCCGTGCTAGAGCATTAGGGGAGGGAGGGGGGGTGGTAGGACCGGGTACTAAACCTCCCCACCGGTAGTATTTACCTGTGCCTGCTCCTCTTGCCTAGCATGTACCCAGGATTCCCCAGCAACAAAGGACCATTCGAGAGAGAGAGAGCATGTGTCCCTCTCCAGGCCGCGAAACTGCTCCACCAGTTTCGCCAACGCTGGTCAGTGACGCTGCAGCGGGCACAGGCCCTGGCTTACCTGGGGAAAGTTAATGAAGCCTCCCCTAACCCCCACACCCCAGTGGGCACCCCTGACGCCGACATGGCACCTGGGGACTGCTTTGCCATAGCAGAGCCCCTAGGGGAGCTCGAGTAGTTTCGAGTCCCTAAAACATGCACGTACCTTGACTTGTTGCCCCCTGCCTGCCTAGCCTGTACCCAGTTTTCCAAGCAATAAACGGACCGCTTGAGAGAGAGAGAGAGAGAGAGAGAGAGAGAGAGAGAGAGAGAGAGAGAGAGAGAGAGAGAGAGAGAGAGAGAGAGAGAGAGAGAGCATGTGTCCCTCTCCAGCTATATAAGCCCTCTCCCTCCCTCATTCTTCCTGTTTAGTTTCCAGTTCTTTCTTTTCTCCAACTCTTGGTGGCGGCAGAGAGGAGAGAGAGAGCGAGAGAGAGAGAGAGCATGTGTCCCTCTCCAGCTATATAAGCCCTCTCCCTCCCTCATTCTTCCTGTTTAGTTTCCAGTTCTTTCTTTTCTCCAACTCTTGGTGGCGGCTCGCGTCGGCGGCCTTCGGCCGCGTGTGAGGGGCGGCAAGGACACAAGGCTTCAAAGTCAACTACGACAACATCAAATACACACATCCAGGGTCTACAACCCGCCAACACTACACTCGGCAAACAAGCATGGAGAGCCTGACAGAGCTTACCAGAGCGCTCACGCTAGAGCGCACTTCACCAACCAGAACCTACACACGCCGGCAGCCCATCATGCGGCCTCGTCCGCTCCAGCCTCCTCAAGCAGGGCCCTCACATAGTCCCCCAGGAGCATCAGCGCTGACACGGCACCGCCAACGATGTCTACAGCTGCAGTCGAGTCTACGCTCGCCGATACTGTCCGCATCACGGCGAGCAGGTGCGGGTCCAACACGGTTCCCGAGGCGGGCGCAGGCTGCACTCGCGTGGACACGACAGCCAGATCAGCTGCAGCCACCGCGCAGCGGTGGAGCGGATTGTGAGGCATCTTGCACGGGCTCACTGAGCTCCGTAGAACGGAGTGTGAGTCCGTCAGCATCTCCACAGCATACCCCATCGCCCTCTGCGCGTGCCAGAGCCGACGAAGCGTGGCGACTGGGATCGCAGTCTCCGCCAGCCGCTCCCTCCCCCGCAGGCGCTCTAGCTGCGCCCTCGGCGGCATCCGCAGCCCACCCGAGCGACGCCGCCCCTCGTTCCCAGGAGGCGAGTCCTCGCCCGTGGACTCCGCTCCCCCCATCTCCGCTGCTTCTGCCCCCCCCTCAACTCCAGTCGGTGACGCCAGCGAACGGCGGGGGGGGACAAAGGGCGCTGTCGCCCGCTCGCCGAACGATGCTGGTGCCGCCAACGGCGGTGGGCCGCGGGACCATCCTGCCACCGGCATATCCGGGGGCGTCGGCTGCCAGGGCGGCAGTGTCTCCGCGGACCGCACGTCCAACCGACGCGGATCGAAGAGACCGGCCGAGGGGAGGACTGGCGGAGGAGGTGCGGAGGGAAGGGACGCCAAGAGGTGCTGGCTGTCGAGGAGCGGGAGAGATGTCACACTGTGGGGAGGGAATGCCGGCGCTGGTGCCTGAGGAAGGGGTAAACGCACGGGCTGCGAGTGCGCCTGCTGGTACTGCTGGGGCGCCAGAAGCTGCGGAGAATACGCCAGGGCCTGCTGGGGTTGGGCGACACTGCGGAACAAGCCCTCGAGAGTCGCCGCGGCCCGCCCTAGGCGCCTCTCCGCTGCGGACCCACGGTTACTCCCCCCGCCAGCCCTCCAGCCGACGCGCTGGCCCGAACGCCCACGCGGCGCCTGCGGAGTCCGGCGCTGCTGCCCCGGCCCCGCCTGTGGGCGGCGCTGAGGCGTCCCTCGGCGAGAGGGATGCTGCTGGCGCGGTGACTGATGCACCTCGCCACGCGCCACTGGTTCACGTCCAATTTCCACGGCGCGCTCAGGGGATTTCTCCTCGTGTCTCTGGGGCGCGGCAGTCCTGCCCCGCGACTGCCCCCGCATCCGCTCGGGAGTCTGTTGGCGAGCCGTCGAGGGGACGAGGCGCCCGCGCTCCCAATCTCGGTCCGACGACGCTGGAGGACTCGCCCGACCTTGGGGGGACTCGCTGTCCCCAGTACTCTCCAAATCGGCAGAACGCTCCCGCGCTGGTCGCTCCATCCCGAGGAGGCGCGCCGCACTCGGCACCCCCCACGACTCGGCACGAAAGCCGAACGACAACCAGGGCCGCCCCGAGGGGAAACCACGGAGGCGGACGCGGAAGACTCAACACACGGACGGCCGGAGGGCGCGGTCGCGGGGCGGCAAGGCGTGGCAACCTGTCCTCCGATGGAGGACCGCTGAACGGTTTCCAGCAGGCAGCGAACAGGGCTTTAAGTACTGCGGAACTGCAACGAACAACTGATGAGGAGGAGCGGGCACGGAGCTTATATACCAGGGGACCAGGAAGACCCCACGACTGAGACCTCCAGTGAGGAGGAAGACGTCGAAACAAACAGGCGCGCTGGAGGACGAGAGGCTGACCCAACTCCCAGATCTAGGGGACGAGGGTCCAGCCGCATGCACAATACTCGGGCATCGCTGGACACCCATCCCCAGGCAGTCCCGCAGTTGTCTCTGGAGGAACTGGCGAATGACCCCTCCCGATTCGCCGTCATCGCCACTTGGGACGTCGCAGTTCTCTGCGACAGTCGCCAACCCCCCCTCTCCCGCCGGTTACCCCCCCAAATCCGTCAACTTTTCGCGCTCGCCCTCCTGACACCCCTCCTTTTCCTCGCCAAACATCCAACCTCCATCGAGGGTTGGATCCTGTTACTTTACCTCCCGCGCCTCACTCTTCGCCTACCCTCACCACGACGTCCTGACTGGCCCGCGACGGAAAGACGACTTCGACAATTTCTCGCGGGCCATTGGGACACACTGTATCAAGCGGCTGCCTCCGCTGTCACACTGCCACCCCCTCCCCGCCACGTACCTGACACCCTGGGGAAAATATCCTGCGCCGAGGGCTTGGTACGACGAGGCAGTTTGCGACGGGCACTGCTCGCGCCGACTTCGACCCCAGTCAGCAAGTCCACCCCCACGGTCCTGGTCGCGCTGAAGTCAAAACACCCCCCTCCGCTTGTCGAAAACCTCACCTGGCCACGGCTTGACGAAAACTGCAGGCCACCGACAGTCGATTTCGCTACGTTCGCGAAGTTGCTCTCTCGCTCCGAAAATGGAGTTGGGGCAGGCCCCTCGGGGATGACCTTCGAGCACCTTCGCGATGCCTCGCTGTCCAACCCCAACGTCGCCACAAATCTTCACAAGCTCGTCCAGCGGCTACTCGCGGGTAACCTGCCGCACGAGGTCAGCCAGCTCGTCACCTCCTCACGCCTCCTGGCCCTTACCAAGCCAGATGGGGGTACCCGCCCCATCGCAATAGGAGAATGTCTCCATCGGCTAGCAGCAAAATCCGCGCTAATCTCCTCCACGCAATCAGCGCAAGACTACTTCCTACCACACCAATACGGGGCGGCCATCAGAAGCGGCGCAGAAACCATCATCCATGCCACCAGGGGCTTTACCTCAGCGCGCCCGGGCTCACTCATCCTACAAGTCGACCTTTCAAACGCCTTTAATAGCGTTGACCGCGCGGCCATCATCCACGCAATCAACACCTCGCCCCTGCGCCCGCTCCTCCCCTTCATACGATTCTCTTATGGAGCACCGTCTCTGCTCTACCTCGACGCCGAGTTCGACAGCCCACCCCTACTCAGCGCGCGGGGAGTCCGCCAAGGGGACCCCATGGGCCCCCTCCTCTTCGCAGCTGCCATCCACCCAGCGCTCCGGACAACCGCCGCGGCCCACCCCGAGGTCCTCTGCCTCGCGTACGCCGACGACATCACCTTCGTCGGCGATCCGGACGCCTGCACCTCGGCGTTCCTCAATTTCACAGCGGCCATGGACCGCATCGGTCTCTCCCACAACCCCGCGAAATGCGCGGCGTGGTCAGCCGAGCACCCTGCACCTGACCGCCTTCCCCCAGGCATACCTTTCAACACAGAAGGCGTCCGCGTACTCGGCAGCTTTATAGGCACAGCCGAGGGCACAGCCGCATTCCTCCGCACCCAGCTCGCCCTGCTAGCCGAACCCCTCGCCACACTGGCCACAATGGACCCTCAGTCCTCATCCCTCCTCCTCACACGCTGCGTATCTCGGCGTGTCTCATACTTAACCCACACCACCCCCCTTGACTTCCTACCCCTGGACGTCTGGTCCGACTGGGGTAGGGAGCTCTTCCATACCCTCCTGCGTGCCTGCAACCTCCAACCACCTCGAGGCGAGGTGGAGCGGGCGCGCACCTGGGCTCAAGCGTCCCTCCCTCCCTCTCTTGGAGGACTGGGTCTAACCGACCCCGCAATTGAGGGACACCCAGCCTACCTCACCAGCCTCACCCAAGCCCAGGGCCTCTTGGCTGCCCTCCCAGCAGCGTCAGGAGGGCCCCTGGCTGACGCTGTCCGGCACCTCACGCCACCTTTCACCAGCCCCACCCACTTGCATACCTGGCTGGCGAAGTGTGAAACGGCGATGCCCCCACGAGCCCGGGAGCTCCTGCACTCCGAGAGGAGGGAACCCTCCGGCTCCCCACTCCAACACCGCTTATCCCTCGAAGTCCAGGCCGAGCGATACGCCGGCCAGGTGGCAGCCACGCGGACAATGGACCCAAACCCACTCTCTGGGCACACCCAACGCCTCTTTTCCCTGGCTGGATATGGAGCAGGGGACTGGCTTCATGCCATCCCCATCTTCCCATCCCTCCGCCTCGAAGCTCCACATTTCGCCATTGCCCTGGCCTTCCGCCTCGGCCTTCCATTCCCAGCCCCCCGCACTTGCAACTGCGCCGAGGAATTCGAAATCCTCGACACTAGGCTGCCCAACCACCTGCTCCGGTGTGGCACCGGGCACGGACGGACTGACACCCATAATGCCCTGCGGGACGAGAGCATACGGATGGCCCGAGATGCTGACTTTATAGTCACCAAGGAGACCACCATCTACAGCCCCGTAGACGGCAACAAGGCCGACCTCGCCCTCCGAGACCGCAGTTCCGGAGCCGTCTGGATCTGTGACGTCACTGTCACAGATCCCATCAGCAGCCGGGACCCGGACGCAAGAAAAGGACGCGGATACATGGCCCGGGAGCAAGCTGACAAGAAAATCTCCCATTACCGAAATCGGGCTCCGTATGTCGGATTTTTCCCACTTGCAGTCGAGACATACGGCTGCCCCTGCGCCGAGGTCCCTACCTTCTTGAAGCTGCTGGCTGACACAGGGGCCAGGAGACTCTTCAATGCGGACCCCAGCTCCTACCAGGCCGCGAAACTGCTCCACCAGTTTCGCCAACGCTGGTCAGTGACGCTGCAGCGGGCACAGGCCCTGGCTTACCTGGGGAAAGTTAATGAAGCCTCCCCTGCCCCCCACACCCCAGTGGGCACCCCTGACGCCGACATGGCACCTGGGGACTGCTTTGCCATAGCAGAGCCCCTAGGGGAGCTCGAGTAGTTTCGAGTCCCTAAAACATGCACGTACCTTGACTTGTTGCCCCCTGCCTGCCTAGCCTGTACCCAGTTTTCCAAGCAATAAACGGACCGCTTGAGAGAGAGAGAGTGGTGAGACTAGGAGGGGCAGCAGGGGTGGGGCAGCAGGGGTGGGGCAGAAGGGGTGCAAGGACAAGAATACAGTGGTGCAGTGCAGTGAAATGTAGAGTGGAAGAAAGGGGTGGAAAAGGATGAGAGTGGTGAGCTGTACAGAACAGCTGAAGGATGGACTTGGCGGGGTGAAAAGGGCGTACAGAGCGGTGAGAGAGGTGAGAGTGCCAAGGGCTGTTGGGATGGAGCCGACTAGACCTCTGCCGTCCAACCACCTGATGTGTTGTTTTGAGTTGCACACACACACACATGCACATGCGCACACACACTCACACACAAGCACACACACACACACACACACAAGCACACACACACTCACACACACACACACACACAAGCACACACACACTCACACACACACACACACACACACACAAGCACACACACACATGCACGGAAGCAGAAAGTGAGACACAGTCACAGCACGCTGGCAGCAGCTCACTGACCCACATCCCTCTTTCCACCGCCCCTCCCACTCCCCCCCTTAACTTCCCCTCCCACCCTCCCACCGTCTCCCCCACCTCCCCCCCGCCCCCCCCCTCATCGCACATGGCGGTGACGAGCCCCGCGCCGTCGCAGGAGATGAACTGCGCCGTGCTGCACTCACCCCCCACCTGCCACCCACTGAACGTGCGGCCCCATGCTGCTGCGCACTCCACCAGCACCGCCGCTGCATGCAGCAAGGGGAGGGGAGGGGAGGGGAGGGGAGGGGAGAAGGGAGCAGACGGGAGCAGAGGGGAGGAAATGGGAGGGGAGCAGAGGGCGGAGGGGAGAGGATAATTTTTTGCCTCTGATTGCGCAGGCCCATGCTGGTCCGCACCACCAAAACCAGGGCTGCATGGGACAAGAGGTCAAGGGGTGAGGAAAGGGGGGGGAAGGGGGGGGGAGGGGAAGGGGTGTGGCCGCTGAACGAGCGGGCCCATGCTGCAGTGCACAGCACTGACACCCATGCTGCATGCACGAGAGGGGAGGGGCGCGGCGGGAGGAGAGGCGGATGGGAAGAGGAGGGCGAGGTTGGGGAGAGGAGCAGCACGAGGTGATTCCAGTTGTCTGGACAGGAGGACGGGTAAGCAGTTGGAGGGATGTGAAAAAAGTGGCAGGTGAGGAGGCTGGGCTGGTGTAAAGATGGAGGAAGGGGAAAGAAGACCGGGGAGGGGAGTGGGAGGGAGTAGGAGAGGGTGGAGAAGAGTGGGAGAGGATGGGAGAGAGTGAGAGAGTGGGAGAGAATAAGAGAGTGGGAGAGAGTGAGAGAGTGGGAGAGAGTGAGAGTGGGAGAGAGGGAGTGGGAGAGAGTAAGAGAGTGGGAGGGAGTGAGAGGGTGGGAGAGAGTGGGAGAGTGGGAGAGAGTGGGAGAGAGTGGGGGAGAGTGGGAGAGAGTGGGAGAGAGTGGGAGAGAGTGGGAGAGAGTGGGAGAGAGTGGGAGAGAGTGGGAGAGAGTGGGAGAGAGTGGGAGAGAGTGGGAGAGTGGGAGAGAGTGGGAGAGTGGGAGACGAGACGAGAGAGCGTAACGAGAGGTGTAGCGAGGAGGAGGATGAGACCTTGGGCGTCGTCGATGCGAGCGGCGACAGCAGGGGACGGCAGGAGCAGGAGAAGCACCAGCCACGCTGCAGCCAGGAGCAGCAGGAGCGACAGTGACGGCGGCACAGGGAAGGAGCAGCCACGACGGTTTCCCATGACTCCAGCTCTTGAAGGAAGGACGGCAGGCTGGCACATTCCCATGACTCGAATCGAATTATATGAAAGAAGGACGGCAGGCAGGTAGGCAGTCTAGACGAACTGAGGCAGTCTAGGCAGTCAAGCAGAGGCGAACGTTCCTCGCAGTGATTGAAGTGGCGGGCGGGACTGAAGACGGGTGCGGACTAAGAGGCTGGCGCGGCACGCCTACGATTCGAGACGGTCTGCACTCGTAGCGGCGAGTTGGTAGAGCTTTCAACTTGGAAGTCACATTCTTAGTAAGACCTGCAAACGCTGAAGAGTCATTCGACCGGCACGTTTTACTCTAATCTCGTTACAGGAGGGAGGGGGGGAGTGGTTTGGGCGGTTCGAGGGGGTGGTGGTGATGGACCATCTCGCCGGCCGATTCTTGCGCTTTTGCGCAAAGAATTCCCAAGGTCCTTCGTCGGAAGGGCGGCACGTCAGACAAGTTGCCAACAAGAGACATGGCCAATGAGAGCCTTCGTGTCTCTGCCGATGCGAGTCAGGAAGTGCCATTTCTGCTGCGGTGTACGGCTGACGCGACGACCTTCCGTTTCACGAAAAGCTCGGAGCACCGCATGGCGATGTCGGCGAGATGACTGGCGAGGTATGCTGGCGTGACGATGGCGCATGACGGGAACGGGAGCAGATGCTACTGCAGGAGGAACGTGCAGTTCAGGTCGACACTACATGATTCTCCCTCTCCCTCTTTCTCCCGTTCTTTCTCGTGCACGAACTTGGTCCCTGTGCGCATGCACTCGATCCCATACACGCTGGCTGGATTCGAGTCCTTCGTCAGCTGAGCTGCGAGCGGCACGAGCAAACAGCGGATAAAGAAACAGTGATGGTGACGCAGCCCCAGCCGTCAGTAAGGGCGCGGCACATTGCGTCCGTTTCGGAGGATCGCGGCTGAAATATCGTATTCCTATGTTTTTGCGAGATCGTTTCGTACGCATTATACACGATCCTCAATAATAGACTTTTACGCGATATAGTCGCGTTCCTGATTTGCAGCTTTTTATCCGCAAATCAACTTGCAGCATGGCAGCATGATATTCGCCAAGTTTATCGCGCAAACCCAGCAACCAGCACTGGACCATCGCAATTTCCGCAACAAGCTTGTACGCGACGCAGTCCAAACCCATTCGCGATTTGAAGATGCGCTTGAGGTTTCGTGACATTTGGGGTGCCACGATCTGGTACTTTGGCGCGTAGGATCGAGAGTGAATCGGACGTCAAATAATTTTGCGGGGTTTGTTTCGGAAGTGATCACCTCCTCCGATCTGGTACATGACTATTTCTATGTTACTGTAGTTTGCTGGTTACCTGCTTCCTACAGAGCATGTATCACAAAACGATCATCGAGCCGGACGCATTGTTCCGCGCCCTAATCTCCATGTTTGTTCGCAAGTGGAACTCTCCCTGCCTGTGCTGTGGGAATGGCATGAGGAGCAAGTCGTTGCTGGTGTGCAGAGCGGTATACCTGGTGTCCGCAAAATGCCGTGCTCGAGTCAGTCCCAATCGGCCCCTCCCTGATTGGCATTCCTGTCCAAATACATCCAGCGCGACTCGCAATCAGTGTGTTCGAATGTCGGGCTTCAGGTGTATGCGTTTTGAGTGGAGCTCGGCTGGCTTCTCTTGACCATTAGCCCGTATTGATTCGTTGGTGGCATGTTCGGTAGGAGGTTCAGCGCAGGGCTAACGTGTAATTTGTAGGGGATTCACAAAGAAGGGGCCATGCTTTTGAGGTTTTCCCAAAGCACGCCTTCGCTTCATCTGGGCGCGCTTGTACTAGTGTCGAAGCAGCGAATAACCACTGGATACGAGCGTTTCTTCGCCCGCCATTTCGCGATTTCGCCAGTCCTGGAACGACCACCACCAAGATCTTGTTTCCAGCTTCTGGCCGCAGCAGAAGCGTGTTGCAGAGTTGTGCCTCGTCAGCACCATGCAGGCCACCTGCCCCGGGGTTTCAGGATTTGGTGGCTGATCCAGCAAGATCGGAGACATGCTTGGCGCGCTATTCAACTCGAAGTCATTAGGCAACTTCGTTACGAAGCGCTTTTAATATTGATTGGCTACGATGGCAGCAGTTTTGCCACACTGGACTGGAGCGCGTTTCGGCTTTGCTGTACTGTAGAGAACAACATCCCAGTGGTCTGGGCCGGGAATGCGAGGCTTGTCAACTGGCAAAAGTGGAGGATGTCGGTCAGGAGGAGCAAAATTTGGTTGTGATGTGGTGCTGGCGGAGGGTTTGGTGGCTGGCTCCCCAAGTAGACAAGGGTTGCACCAGGTTCATCACACGGCGGCTGCCCCTGAATGAGCTGTCATTCCAGCATTTCTTGTTGTCACAAATTACTACTGCAAACGAATTGAATTAAACCGAAAAGCCATTCATTTGTGAAGCCTAAAGCAGGAAGACTACGACTTCTGCTATTTCTATCAATGTTCCTTCAGTGTTTAGACAGATTTTGTTTGGGTAAGTGCATCCCGCCCTCCGCTTTCTGGCCAGAGGGGGGTTCCCCAACCAGGTTCCACGGAGGCCTGGCTTGTTGGCTGGCGTGGCGGCGAGTAGTATAAATAGAGCCGTCGGCATTGACAGAGATTCAGTCTCACATTACGTCTTCCAGTTTCCAAATTCTCTTGGCCTTCCAGCCTTTCCCATATAGCTTTTGCGAAGTAAGAACTTCAGCATACTCGCCTCGCATGCCTAGGTTAGCAGGTCCTAGTCCCGCTTGCTCCCATCTAGTCACGTCAGTAGCGTCGGTATCCAGCGCCTTTTAAGGGAATTGTCATCGTGCTGACCATGGCTTTTGAGCTCGCAGCTTCACCAGCAATCGCGGCAATCGCGCCTGCTTCGGGACTCCATCCAACTCGGTTCCCATCGAGCGAGGTCCGTCATTCGATAAGTGTCTTACACCTTCCTCCGCCATTGGAATTTACTAGAGCAAGTCGTTGAAATCGCCTATCTCTCGGTGGATTTGCGATCAATTGAGCTTCTGTCCGCATCCTGCTGGAATTTCGAATCCGTTCTTCTCAAGATTCACCTACTTTTCCCTGATGTTCTCCTTTCCTTCCTTCTTGGCGCATGTTCTATCGGCGACATTCCCTTGGGGGCTTTGCGATTCGTGCGACAACACCTTTGTTCTACACCGCGTCCTGACCGCTCCTGACCCAATTCAACCGCTCGCCGTCGCGTTGACGTCTCCCTTCTGCAATCCCCGTAATTAGGTCCTTCAGCAATCGCATTGGATGGGCTCCTCGTTTTACGGGTAAAATTCGAACCGATCCTCAAACCTCTTCTCCTTACGTCCGCCCAGTTTGCCTTCTGTTTCTCCCTCCCTTCTCATGCCACGCTTTTCTTAATCCGTGTCTTTATTAATCTCAACTGGCTGTCATCGTTGCAGTCCCTTCCTGTCCACCCATTTCCCCCCTTCCGCCATTCACCCCTCTTCCCCCCACTAGAACCCGCTTACCGTATCGAGGACCTACTTCCCTGCAAGCCTCGTACGCGCGCGGCTCTCTCTTCCGTCCCTCGCCGGCCCTGCCGCTTGCCACGCCTCCCTGCGCGCCGTGTGCGCGCAATCAGCGCCCGGTCACCCGCGTTCCCCCTCCGTCCGCTTCCGCGTCCGCTTCTGCAGCGTCTTCTGCTGCTGCTGCTGCCTCTGCATCTTCTTCCAATGGCGCGTCAACTCTCGTCAACGGTACCGCGGTTCGGTCTTCTCCTCGCCTCGATCCTATCGTCGTCCCATCCGAACCCGCTACAAGCAGCCCCGCTTTCGCCGACAGCAAAATGCCTTCCGCGCACTCCGCGGATGGAATCAGCGACGCGTCTTCCGCGGAAGCCCCGCTCTCGCTGCGCTCGTCGTCGCCCACCCGCCAGCCCGCGCGTCCGGGCCTCATCGAGCGCTGCTTCGGCCCGGGAACCGCGCCGTCAGTCGCGGAAGCCGCCAGCAGCCTCCTCGTTCCCCTGGCGGAGCACGCCATATCGAATTGGGCTCTCCCCAGCGGGACCAGCGGCGGGCGCAGCGGGTCGGAGGCGCGCGTGCTGAGGGCTAAGCGCGCCGTGCAGAGTCTGGAGGAGGAGAAGGTGCGCGAGGAGCGGCGGAGGGAGCTGAGCGCGCTGCTGGAGCAGCTCGAGGCCATCCGGGACCACGCGAACGAGCTGGAGATGTGCAATCAGCACCACCTCGACCTCTCCGCGCCGTACGTCGTGAATCTGACTGAGCCGCTCTCCCATCTGTTCTCTGATGTGTTTTCGCTGTTCTCCGTGCTTGCCCATTGATTCTGGTGCCTGGAGATCCGTGGCTGGTCTTCAGGCTCGGGTTCCAGGCTCGGGTTCCAGGCTCGGCTTCTTCGCCTCAAACCCTGAACCCCTGAATTCTGCTGTCGGCATCATCCCTACCGCTCCGTACTCGTAGTATGCCGTATCTCTCCTTTCAATCCCCTCTCCTCCTTGCTTCGTTCTCCTCGCACCTGTCGCTGCTCCCAACACTTCTCTCCCCAACCCCCCCTTCTCCCCTCCCTTCCCCTCCCTCCTTCCTCTCTCCCCTCGCCCTCCCCTTCCCCCTCGTCCCATCCCCCCCCCCAGGCGGTACCGCGAGTCGGCACGCAACCTGCTGCATTACATGGCGCTGCGCAACATTGACGTGCGGCACCTGCAGCAGGCGCTGGCGCACCTGGGGCTCTCCTCGCTGGGCCGCACGGAGGCGCACACGCTCGCGTCCATCCACGCTGTGACTCGTGTCGTCCGCTCCATGCTGCGCGAGCTCACGCCCAAGACGAAATCGTCGTCCTCCTCCTCCTCCTCATCCCTGTCCTTGTCGTCGGCCAAGACCAAGACCAAGTCCAAGTCCAGCAACCTGGTGCGCCCTGGTGCCTCCAGTTTTGCGTTTCTTGCTACTGCGCCATGTGCTCTCCTTCCTTGCTCCTCGGCACATCCTGCCCCTCCCCTCCTCTCCACTCCACTCCTCTCTTCTTCCCTCCCCCCTCCTCTTCCCTTCTACAACTCCCCCGTTTCCTAGTCCACATTCCTGACGTGTCTCAGCTCGTCCTTTAGTTCTCCCCCCACCATCCACCTCCCCCAACTCGACCCTCCCTGCTTCACCACACCCCACCGCACCCCAACCAACCACGCGCCCTCCCTCTCCGCTCCACCTCCCTCCCATCCACAGGCATCCCAAGTGGAGGCCCTGGCAACGGACGTGCTCCCCCCAGTTCTCGACTTCGCGGACGGCGACAGGCAGCTGCAGAGCAACACTGTGGACCTGCTCGGCCCGCACCCGCCCCACCGCAAGACGTTCATCATGGTCACGCTCCCCGCGGAGGCGGCCACGGACCGGGCGCTGGTGGCGGGGCTGCTGGGCGCGGGGATGAACGTGGCGCGGGTGAACTGCGCGCATGATGATGCGGCCGTGTGGGGGAAGATCGTGGCGAACGTGCGCAAGCTGTCCGCTCAGCTGGGCCGGCCCTGCAGGTGCGGGTGGTTTGACGCCTGTGGTGGGGCTGTGCTGCGGCTTATGTGCTGCTGTGGGTGTGGGTGTGGGTGTGGGTGTGGGTGTGGGTGTGGGTGTGGGTGTGGGTGTGGGTGTGGGTGTGGGTGTGGGTGTGGGTGTGGGTGTGGGTGTGGGTGTGGGTGTGGGTGTGGGTGTGGGTGTGGGTGTGGGTGTGGGTGTGGGTGTGGGTGTGGGTTGGGTTTTTGCGATGGAGATGTGTTCAGGTGTCATGGAGGAGTAGCAGCAGCGTAGGAAGGTCGCGTCGTTACTCTTCCATGACAACTGATCCCTGGGATTTTGCCATGGAGATGCGTTAGTGCTGGGATTGTGCGTGACTTCCTGCTTTGGGCACACAGTCCACTCTTCTGTGCCTTGCCCTCTCCTCGCTTCCCCTCCCATTCTTGACCTCCCTTCCCTTCCCCTCTCACTGCTCCCACTTCCTGCGCCGCTCTCCCTCCATTGGATCGCTCCTGCCTCCCTGGCACTTCCCCTCAACCCCCTCTCTCACCGCGATACCCACCCCTCGTCTTCTCCGCCTTCTCGTCCCCTCCCCGTCGCTCCTCTGCAGAATTCTGATGGACCTGGCGGGTCCCAAGTTGAGAACGGGTCCCATGCCCAATGGGCCCCGGGTGTTGCGCCTCAAGCCCAAGAAGGACGCCCGGGGCACCGTCCAATCACCCCTCAGAGCCCTGCTCGTCCCCGCCCCTTCCTCCACACACTCCTCCTCCTCTTCCTCCACTATCCCTCAAGTTACAGTAGCAGCAGCAGCAGCAGCGTCGCTCCCCACCATTCCCCTGCAAGCCTCCAAGATGTGGGTCCAGGGGTTGAGGGCAGGAGACGTGCTGAGTATGGTGGATGCGCAGGGCAAGAAGAGAGCACTGGAAGTGGCAGAGGTGGTTCCAGGACCCAAGGGACCGCAGGTCGTGGTCGAATGCAGCAAGTCCGTTGTCTTTGAAACCGGGCTGCCCGTGAGCATCAACCGGGCAGGGTCGAAGAAAAATAAGAAGGGGAAGGCTGGGAAAAGCGCGGTTGAGTTGCGTGCAACAGCAGCAGCAGCAGGAGGATCAGGAGGAGGATCAGCAGGAGGAGAGGCGTATATCGGGGAGCTGCCTGCGAGTGAGGAGGCGATAGAGCTGAGCGTGGGCGACGAGCTGCTGATCGTGCGCGGGGAGGGCGAGGGCTCCAAGGCGCAGTATGACGCTGCTACGGGCGTGCTCGTGCGGCCCGCCTCCGTGAGCTGCTCGCTAGAGCAGGTGTTCACCAACCTCAAGGTGCACTTGCTGGACACGTGTTGACACTGGGGGAGGGGGAGCGGGAGGGGGACGGGGAGGGGGAGGGGGGAGGTGAATTGCTGCATGTCAGACCCCCAATCTTGTCCTCGGCACCCTCGTGTCTCTCTGCACCTGTGCCTCGTGCATTATGCCCTGTCTCCTGTGTCATGTGTCCTGTGTCCTGTGTGTTGTGTCTTGTACATTGTGCATCGCTCTTGCCAACTGCAGGAGGGCGAGCCAGTGAAGCTGGACGACGGGAAGATCGAGGGCGTGGTGGAGGCGGTGGGCAGTGAAGAGGTGCGCGTGCGCATCACCAAGACGCCGCCCGCTGGGGCCAAGCTCAAGAGCGAAAAGGTGAGAGAGGGAGGGGAGGACGGCGGGGGAGAGGTATCCAAGTGGTGGTGGCTTCTGGAGGGAGGTGGGGGAAAGGAAATTTTCTGTGGCGTATTCTGCGTGGTGTATATGCAAGGCATTGTTTTCCCACCACCCCCTTCCTCTCGTCCCACCCCACCCCACCCCAACCTCCCCTCCTCTCACCACTCCCTTTCCCTCAAGCGGTCCTTCCCCTCCCTCTCCCTCTCATCCCTATCACGCCGTCCCTTGCCCGCTCACCAGGCGCTGAACCTGCCGGACAGCGACCTGCAGCTGCAGGGGCTGACAGCCAAGGACATAGCGGACCTGGACTTCATAGTCTCGCATGCCGACATGGTCGCCTTTTCCTTCGTCAACGACGCCTCCGACGTCAGCATGCTGCAGGTCAGCCTCCCATTCTGTTGCTATCCACTCCCTCCTTGTCTCTCCTCTCCCCCCCTTTTCCCCTTCCTCCTCTTCCTCATTCCATAACCCGTCTGCTAGTGGTTCTAGGACTCTCAGTCAGACCTCCGCACGTGTACGCGCACACACACATGTCGAGTGGACTTGAAACCGTACCTCCATGCGCGCACACACTGCTAGTGTGCAGAAGAGCTCACGGTCCGTTCTTTGCTCTGTGTGTGTGTGTGTGTGTGTGTGTGTGTGTGTGTGTGTGTGTGAGTGTGCGCGCACGCACCACATCTCACCGTCTCACCATCTCCCAGGACGAGCTGGCGAAGCGAGGAGCGGACGACCTGGGAGTGGTGCTGAAGATCGAGACCAAGCGCGCCTTCCAGAACCTGCCCTGGCTCATGCTGCAGGGCATGAGGGGGTCGGGGCCCCTGGGAGTCATGATTGCGCGCGGGGACATGGCGGTGGAGTGCGGTTGGGAGCGGCTGGCAGAGGTGCAGGAGGAGGTGCTGTGGCTGTGTGAGGCGGCGCATGTGCCCACCATTTGGGCCACCCAGGTGCGTGCTGCTGCTAAAGCTGCTTGGCTCACTCACTTGCCGCCGCACGCTCGTTGCCGCACGCTCGTTGCCGCACGCTCGTTGCCGCACGCTCGTTGCCGCACGCTCGTTGCCGCACGCTCGTTGCCGTAAAACTCACTGCTGCTCATTGTCATCCCCTTCTGCTGTAACCCCCTCATTCTCACTCGTCCCTCGCCCTTGCCATTTCCTTCTCCCAGGTTCCCTGCAACTCAGGCCTCAACTCTCTCCCCCTCTCCACGTTCTCCCCCTTGCACTCCCCCCTCCCCCCCCCCCCACACGCCCTCTCCCACTGCCCCCTCAGGTTCTGGAAGGCCTGGCCAAAACGGGCCTGCCGTCACGAGCGGAGATAACAGACGCAGCCATGGGGGAGCGGGCGGAGTGCGTGATGCTGAACAAGGGGCTGCACATCGCGGCGGCGGTGACGACCCTGGATGACATCCTGCAGCGCATGCGCTCGCACCAGATGAAGAAGCAGAGCATGATGCGCCCGCTGCAGCTCTCGCACCCGTTTGTCACCATCAGCTACTCGTCTGCGAGCAGCGACTCGAGTGATTCTAGTGATTCCAGCGACGAGGAGGCGTGAAGAGGTGTGAAGAGGTGGTGGAAGCATGGGGCAGGAGAACATCAGGGTGTGACGAAGGAATGAAGCAGCATTGCTGAAGGAGGAAGCAGGAATACATGAGGGAGATTCTTCACTGGATCTGATGATACAACTACTTTTGGTGCTCACATTGGGCAACCTCCAATTGGCAGCTTGGGGGGTAATACTGGTGTAGCTAGCTGCCAGTGGAACGTTCTGTATACCTTAACACGGGCATCTATCGCAATGCCCTCTATAGTTTGCCTCATCCATAGTAGTCCCTCAATATGGCCGAGTGGGATGAAGCATGTATCTGGCTGGAATATGATAGTTTGCCTCATCTATAGTATTCCCTCAATATGGCCGAGGGGGATGAAGCATGTATCTGGCTGGAATATGATAGTTTGCCTCATCTATAGTATTCCCTCAATATGGCCGCTGGCTGGAATATGATATGATATACTGTTTTGTAGTGCTTGCTTGCACGCCAAAGAGCTGTCGAAATCAAATCAAGGAAAGAGGTTATGAAATATGGTACTGGTACCTAATATGCTATAAAAACATCGTTCATTGCATAATGAAGAATGCAGAAACCGTCTACTATAAATGAGGCAGTGCAAACAAGAATAGTCGATATCATGCATTGTATTGTAGCACAAAACTTGGCTGATGTATTGTGGTCTCCTCATACATGAGTGCAACCATGAAGCAGCACACGACTTACCAATTTATTCAAAATTGCATCCCAGACTCCAGGATTACGAGGGTAACCAATTTCTAGGTACAGTAATTCGCATTTTAGTCGACTCGTAAGTGTAGTGACCGTGTTGAGAATGTACACTGGCGCAACACCACACTGCTCCAGCTGGAAAATGCGCCATAAAGCATGGAAGCCATCCATCGCCGCCTTCCCACAAATAGTCGTCTCACCTCAGCTCCCACAGCTGAGCTGTCCTCAACCCTTAAACTTCTTGCTGCACTTAAACCTTCCCTCAACCCTCCACCATCCATCTCCATTTACTCTCCCCCTCCTCCCTCCCTTCCACATCCTCATCCTTCGAATCCTTACCCCCCCCTTTCCATTCCCCCACATCCTCCCGTACCAATACTTTCCCCCTTCCTCTGCCCTCCATCCCTCACCGCAATCACGCACCGCACAGCACCGCACCGCACCGCATGCCCATTGTTCTTATCCACCCAGATCAGGCAGCTTCCCAGTCCTCCTATGCTCCTCCCCGCCGCCTTCTCCTCCCCTTCATCCCGATTACCCCTCTCCACCCCTGCTCACGCCGTCAGTGGTTGCACAGCAATCACGGATCGCACCGCATGCCCGTTATTATCCGCCCAGGTCAAGCTCCCGTACGAGAAAGCCGCGGACGCCCTCCGTACTGTGATGTTCATCTGATACCGGACCGATGCTCCTGGAGCTATGGTAAACGTCCGGGGCTCCAAGTCGATGTTGACATTGTCAGGGATTACGAGCACGGCGCGGTATGTTGACGCCCGGGTCCACACGCTAGTCACTCTCCGGTTGATGGTGACGAATTTCTTCATCCGGGACACGCTGATGGATGCACGGTTGAGATTGTACGCCGGGACGGGGGTCAGCTGCATGCCCGAAAATATATTATTCGCCCGCCAGCTGCTCTGGCCGGCGAGGAAATTCACGAAATCAGAATATGAGGCGTCGTAGGTAAGCCCGGGGTTTAACAACCCACTGGTGTTCACCTGGCCTTGCCCCATGTCCCAGGGGGTAGCCACACTCCCAGTATCTGTCGGAATCAGCCCGCCACGATTAGTTGTGGTGCTAGCCGTGGTCATAAACGCAGAGATGATCTGCGCAGGCGACCAGGTAGGGAATTTCTGCACGACCAGCGCGCCAAGCCCCGCAAGGTGGGGCGTAGCCATGGAGGTCCCGGACACCATGCCGAAGTTGGGCGTGGATGACTGCGCTAGAGAAGTGGACCGCCAGGGGCCCCAGAGGTTGACTCCCGGGCCAACTACGTCGGGCTTTAAGATGTCGTTGGTGCCGGCCCACGAGGCCTGCATGGCCGGGTTGACCACGGGCCCGCGAGACGAGAAGTCGGCGATCACTGGTGCCATGTCGTTGTCAACTGCGTAGGGGGAGGAGATGCGCGCCGTGGGGACTCTGCCCCGCGCTCTGAAGGGATGGGGGGAAAGGGAGGGGAGAGGTCAGATGCGGGGGGAGGGAAGTTAGAATAGATGTTGGCAATCACTGGTGCCATGTCAAAACGACTGGCGTAGCGGGAGGGGATGGGGAGGGGGGATGGTGGGAAAGAGGGGCGGGGTGAGGAGGGTATATTGCGCTGTGAGAGCCAAGGCGGCAGAGAGGGTCGGAGTAGCGAGGAAGGTGTTTGTGAAACAACTGAGGAGCATGGGTTTAGGGTTTAGGGTTTAGGGTTTAGGGTTTAGGGTTTAGGGTTTAGGGTTTAGGGTAGATGCAATGGGGGTGTAGATGGCGGGGGACGGGTAGGATTGGTTCAATACCCACGCGGATGCATCTACCAGCCACCTCCCCAACCCCAGCACACACAGCCACACCCCTTCTCCTACCCTCTCCCTCCCCCCTTCTCACCTCATGTTACTGAGGTACTTCTGCAGCTGGTTGGCCTGGTTGGCAGTGATGTGAATGACCGGAATGGTGGACCTGAGAAACACCGTGTTGCTCAGCCCCTTGGCCACGTTGCTGATGATCACGGCAGCGGCGCCCGCGGTGACGGCGGCAGAGAGCTTGTCGGTGAGGAAGTTCTCCCCGCGCACGCACAGCAGGATCTTGCCAGAGACCTTGTTCGCCATGATGGCGTTCGAGTAGCACAGCCGCGCCTGGGATGGCATAGAGAGGTGGAGGGGGGGGGGGGAAGGGAGAAGGAGGGGGGTTGTTGTGGCGGAGGAAGGGATGCGAGGGGAGCGGGGATGGCCGACACCTTGTTGGCTATGATGGCGTTCGAGTAGCACAGCCGCGCCTGGGATGGGGGGGGGGTGAGTGAGGGTAGGGTTGGTTGTGGTAGAGGAGGGGAGGTGAGAGGGGGTGAGGGGGTAGATTGGGAGAGGAAAGGGAGGGATGGCAGTAGGGAAGGGAGCGGGGGGATGGGGAGATGTGAGGCGATCGAAGGGATGTGCTGCTCACTCCTGTTACACTTGCACACGTGGAAGCACTGAAACACTGATTTTCCTCCCTGCGGATGCACGTGGATGCACGTGGATGCACGTGGGTGCACGTGGATGCACGTGGATGCACGTGGGTGCACGTGGATGCACGTGGATGCACGTGGGTGCACGTGGATGCACGTGGGTGCACGTGGGCGCATTTGGGGAGGGGGATGACTCACCCTAGTGGAGCTGGCGAAGGGTCTGACAGCCTGGCCGCCGTCGACGATCTGCAGCATCTTGTTGCTGCCGCCCCACGACGGGCCCTGCAGCACCACGCCATTGCCCAGCGTCATGTTCGCCACGTACCGCCGATCCGTGGAGCTGCAGGGGAGGGGGGGGGGAAGATGAGGAGGGGGAAGATGACAAGGAGTGGGGAAATGAGAGGTGGGGGGAAGCGCATGGAAGGTGGGAGGGAGGGGGTGGGGGGGAGGGAGTTTGCCCCTGCAGCTCCACGCTGTTGCCGAGCGCCATGTTCGCCACAAACCGCTGGTGGGTGGAGCTGGGACGCTTGCTTTGGGGTGGGGGAAAGGAAAGGGGGATGGTGGGAGAGGGGGATGGTGGGAGAGGGGGACAATGGGGTCATGAGGGTGGGGGATGCGGAGAGCGGCGATGGGGAGTTGCGGGGCGTACCTGGCTAAGTGCGGGGCGTACCTGGCTAAGTGCGAGGCGTACCTGGCTAAGTGCGGCGCGTACCTGGCTCCAACAGTGAGATAAAAGGGCGAGTAGTTGTCGATAGTGGCGTAGTTAAAGAGGTCCGCCGGGGGCGGGCCCTGGTTGCCCGCAGCTAGCGTCGAGAACACGCCCGCCTGGCGATGGGGGAGAGGGGGGAAGAGGAGGGAAGAGGGGGGAAGAGGGGGGTGGAGAGGGGGGAAGGAGGGAGAGGGCAGGTCAGCAGAGTTGGTGAGGGAGTGGGCGATAAGAGAGGCAAGGGGTGTTTCGAGACTCGTCGCTTCATCTCGCCTCGCTCACCCTGACTACATCTCCTGCGTCGCCTCCGCCGCCTCCGCCGCTCCACAAACCCACCCCCCATCCCCCACCCCCCCCCTACAAGCCCTTCCCCGGCCGCGCGCCCACCTGCACAGCGGGATGAAGCTGAGATCGTCCAAGTATGCATTGAGTCGACTCAAACCACTCCCCCCCTACAAGCCCTTCCTTCATCTCCCCTGTAACCGCTCACCTGCACGGCGGAGATGAAGCTGAGATCGTCGAAGTAGCTCGTGAGCCCGCCGCCCACGGACAGGCTCAGCACATCCACGCCGTCCGCGATCGCCTGATCGACGGCGGCGTACACGTCGCTCATCGCGCCGCTCGCGCCGTCCGTGCCGGCGAGCCGCCACATCGTCTTGTACATCGCGATGCGCGCGCGCGGCGCCATGCCCGACGCGATGCCGAAGTTGGACGGCCCCATCTTCACCTGCACGCCTGTGTTCCCCGCCGCCGCCCTGGGGTTTCCACGCGCAAGGGGGGGGGGAGGGGGGGGGGGGGAAGAAGGGGGGGGAAGGGGATGATGGGGTAAGAACGTGCGGAGAGATTAAACAGGAGGGAAGAGCGAGGCGCGAGCAGGGTTAAGTCATGCATGATAGGATATGGAGTCCTGGCAACAGACTGACAGAAGCCGAGCAGCACGAGTCACATGGTGATTGAAATAAAATGTCTAAAAAAGAGCCCCGAGACTCTTGCCAGACTGTCAACTCGGCATCCCAAGGATGTCTCGTGGTCCTCCCACGGCAATCTCAGCCCCCTTATCCGGCGGGCTAGCACCGTACCCGGGACACCAGGAGCCGTGGCCATTGCCGTCCCGGGGCGACTTGAAGTCGGTGGTACAATCAATCGAGACGCCTTATACCAGGCGCGTGAAAGGGCCCCGTTTCAGGCACCTCAAAACCCTCCACCCCCCCCCATCCCTCATGTTACCGTACCCGGAGCACCAGGAGCCGTGGCCGTTGCCGTCCCGGGGCGACTTGAAGTCGGTGGTGTAGTCGATGGCGACGCCCGCCTGGCTGATGCCGGCGTTGTAGAAGCGCGCGCCGATCACCTTCTTGTTGCACGCCTTGAAGTCCGCCGACTTCACGCACGTCCCGCGCCACCGCGCCGGCACCGGCCCGTACGTCTGCGGGTGGGGGGAAGAGGAGAGAGGGGGGGGGGGACGAGAGAAGGGGGGAGAGCGGAGGGGGAGATGCGGGGGAATGAGGAGGGTGGCTGGAGAAATGTGGGGATTGAGAGGGGGTTTCGTTGCTGGAAGAAAAGCCTCTCTCCCTATCTCTCTCTCTCTCTCTCATCGCGCTAATCTGGACCACGCTCCTCCTCTCGGTTCACTCGTCATTGGACGACTCTCCCCGACTCTCTCCCTCCCGACCGACTCACATCGTCCGCGAACGACGGGTGCTCGGGCCATATCCCCGAGTCGATCACGCCGATGATCACGCCGTCGCCCGCGTTCTTGACGCCGCCATTCGCGCTCCACAGCGTCGTCGCCAGCTTTAGGTACGTCGGCGTGTGCGACGTGCGCAGGTGCACGATCCGGTCGGGCCGCACCATTGCCACGTCAGGATGCGACTCGAGGGCCTCTACTTGGTCCTGATTTAATTTCGCGCCAAACGCATTGACCGCGTAAGTATAGCTGCGGGGGGTGAGATTAAGAGGCGGGGAGAATAGGGGGGCAGAAATTGACGTGGTGACGCGTTGACGCGGTGACGCGTTGACGCTTTAGCGCCTTAGAACGACATCCATTTATGCACATAGCTGCTATACACGCTCCTTTCACGTACCTTCTGAAGATGTTCTTAGCGGAGACGTTGACCGACGCCGCAATGTCCTGCTGAACCTTCCCAAGAAACTTCTGGAACGCCTGCACGCCTGAGGCTCGTATATCGGCGCGCAGCGGCCGAAATCGCTTCTGCATGTCGTTAATGGCGCCGTTGACGGCGTCGCCCACTCTGTGGCCGATGTCGCCCAGCGCGTCGCCGATGGACGACGTCGTCAGCAGCGACGCGTCTGCGACATCCGGTGCCGTCGCGGCATAGCCTTTGATCCCTCCCCGGTAGTTGAGAATAGGCGGCGCGGAGCGTAGATAGACTATGTAGGATCCTGTAGGATTCACCGTCGATCCGACACCTGCGCAGGTTAAAGAGGTGCGGGAGAGAATGAAAAGCTTTGTTATGGCGGACTGTCTGCGTGAGTTCCAACCAGTGAGTGCCACGTGTCCGCAGCTGCAAAGAATCTCCCCTCGAGCGGTCGAATTTGCGCGTTGGGCGGAGATAACGAGTAGCGACTCGCCGACATTTGTTCCGGCCCTATTCGGCCCAGACTCTCGACGCGCTCCCATGTTCGATAAGCTAAGCAGGGAGCACGGGTCTAGTTGGACGAGACTAAGCCGCAGATCTCGTTGCCCATGTGCGCCGTTAGCGACGCGGGAATGGTCACCGCGACGGGCTTACACAAAGGCTCTTCCCAACAAGGCGACTAAAGCGAACGAAGAAGGTCAGGGGGCCGCGGTTTAGGAGTCACGGCAAAGCGAAGCTGGTGAAATTAACGCGTGAGAGGCCCTCGTAGCCCACAGCGCTGCCCCGCATCGACTTCGAGAGAGATAAACGCCCCCCCCTCCCCCCTAATCACGGATAGGACCACCACAACGGGCGCCGTCGTGACGGTAGAGCCAAAGCAAAGGCTCTATAGTAGAGTCATGGCAGAAAGCGCTGTAGCGGATATGGCGGATGTTCGCGAGGAATAGTTACCTGCATCTGGCGCGCCATGGGCGGGTTGAAGGAGGCGGCGGGCGTCTAGAGAGAGAGCGAGAAAGGCGGCGAGCAGAAGCAGCTGGAGGGTGGAGGCTCTCCGAGGAAGGAGGAATGGAGGAGAGCCTATCGGCGCTCCTAGGGAACGCATCGCTGCTGCTGCCACTCTCTGCTGTTAGTGGAGGGATTAACGACGACGCGTCGCGCCAGGGCACACGACGCGTCGCGTATCGATCGCCGTTTCGAGGGGACTGAGAGGGGGAACCAGTAGAGATTATTAAGGCGAGTCGAGCGGAGGTAAGCCAGGGTAGGGGCACTTTGGGTGGGAATATTCTCAAATGCCTGAGCTCGAATGCAGCGGGCTAACTAGTAGAGTGAACTGCGCCGAGGAAGTTGTAAAGGGAGTGAGTGCCCCTTGGATGCACGGGAGGGCTGTGGCGTAGGAGCCACGAGGCGGAAAGGAACGTGTTAGTTATTGGCCCTCAATTGGAAGGTCGAGGTGTCACGGTCTAGGACTAGTAGGCTTGTGGTTGACTTGACTGCAGAGCGGACAGTCTGAAAGGGATGGCGGCTGTCAATCGCGAAATGACGGAACGACGGGGCATGAATGGGGTCTTGTTTGGATGCTAGAGGGGGAGTGGGAAGGGAACATGGTGGGCGGCCGGGAGTGGGGCGTCTGTGATGACGACGCACAGGGTCGCAATTCCCTGATGTCGAATTCGCATAGCTGAAAGCAAAGTGCCCACGCGAGTCACCGACGGCAGGCAAAACTTGGGGCGAAAAAGACGATGGCGACGAGAGGTAGGTGTGACTGGTGGGTGTCGGCAGCACTAAGGAGGCACCAGATCACTCCACGCAAGCCGCTGGACACCTGCAGTCTGGAGAGGAAGGGGAGGCTTGCCGACTACAGTGAACTCATTTCTCCACTCCAGGTTGGGTGGGAAACAAGAAGCCATGGCATGTACAGCCCAGGAAAGCGCGTGATGGGTGCATGCCGGCAATGGGCGATGGGCATCGACGGAGCGGAGAGGACATCAGCAGGAGGTCAATGTCGAAATGACGGTTGCTTCTCAAAATTTGGGCTTTCACGAGGGCCTTTTCCCGTGTCGCGAGAATTGAGGCGCTGCGCGGGCGAGAAGCTGGGCCACAGAAAATTTCTGCAGTGACAACGAATTGCCGCTGCGGCTGGCTGGCTTGTTGAGCCACGTCGGAGACTTGGGGGTGATGTTTCCTGTGCGCGACCTGTCTCACTCACCCAGAGGCTGGTTTGGTGCCATCACCCAGCGAAATGGCCATTTGTAGTTGGAAACATAGTAACCGCGATGACAAATGTATGCATGTAATAGGAACTTTGGAACATTTACCGCAAATAGGAGATATAGCGTGCATGCTGCTATCATTTTAGGAAAAAATCATGTACGGAACATGTGTAAAAGCAGATCGAATAACATATACTAAATAACTATGCCATTATTATGCATAAAATCATACATCGAAAACACGTGATGTAGTCCAAGGTATTTTTGCAATAAAAACATTTGGAAAGAATCAAAAGAGAGTGAGGGAACATCTTAGCAACTTAAGTAGGTCTGAAGCCTTTTATTGTTTTCGAGTCGTTTTGTGATGGGTGAAACCAGAGCGCAGATATGACCTGCCACGTAGGCTTTTGGTTGGTAGGTAATCCAGGTGGCGGTTCGGATCCTGGATCAGCGGGGCCACCAGCCAGTGCAGGCGGATGCTTTCTGGGGCCCCCCTCGTTTTCATTGCCCGCAACCGGGGGGTAACATCCAGGGGGGCTCCTCTCCTCCCCTCTTTCTACCACGGGATGGACCAATGGAAAATGACGAGGCACGTCATTTCCATCAAGATCATCGCAGGCTTTCGCAGACCTGGCTCAGTAACACAATCGCTGGCGTAAACAAAGCTTGGCGGTTTGCGTTACTTGATTACCAATCTCTTTGATCCAATCGCTGTTCGCCAGGCTCAACCACCAAACCAGGCCTGGCTGCCGAGTTTCGGCCTGCCCCCCAGCCATTCCCGCTGAACTCCCCATCCCCGTCCTCCTCCCCCGCGCCTCCCGCCGCTTCTCCCTTGCCCTCCAGTTCCCCGTTCCTCTTCCCCTCTACCTAACCCGCGCTCTCCCCTCCATCGCCTCCAAACATCCCCCCACCTTCCCCCCCCCCAGCTTCCCCGCATTCTGGAACATTCCTTCCTTCATATTGCACCCGCTGCTCTAAGAATTTGCATCCAATTCCATTCTCCAATTTGCCAAGCGCTCTTCTTTCCTAGCATCAGCCTGATCAGCCATTCATGGCTCGCCGTGTTTCCGCAGCCCACGCGGCTCTTGCCGTGCTCAGCGTGGCGTGTCTCCTCGCAGTGCCGGCCTTAGCGGAATCGAAAGTGGTCGAGCTAAACTCGGCCAATTTTAACGAGGTCGTGGGCCTCACAGACAACGTGTTCGTCAAGTTTTACACACCATGGTGCGTGCAAACCCGAGTCTTATCACGTCTTCCATAATGCCAGTGCTTCACTGCAATGCATCTTCATGGACACATCCCGTTACTCTTCGCGCATCCCTTACTTTTTGAAAATCTAGTTGTTCGATTGGCACGAAGGAGCACGTTACAAAGATCAGATTTACCCAACTTGGGAACGGGATTCGGAAATTGCACATTGCGCCTAGGTTTCAGCAAATGGCGTCACGACAACATCCCCGTTATAGGCTCAATATGTGTTAGTTCTCTTCCCTGCATCGAAACCGGCTAACAGGTGCGGCCACTGCAAGCGCCTGGCTCCGGACTGGGAGAAGGTCTCCCTTTTGTACCGCACTACACCGGACATTGTCATCGCTAAGGCACGTCGTATCCTTCCTTTTTCGCATACTGGCAGAAGCTCGCCCTCCTGTTTCCCGTAAAATAGCTTTCCGACCTTTCTCTGCTTCCGTGCTCTAAACTCAGTTCACTGATAGGGAGCATAACGCATTCAAAAGGAAGTGATTTCGTGGAGGCTGTAAGGACACATATCGCCACTGGTACCTGATGCTATCAATGTCGTTGCTTCATCCCCCCCTCTCCCCTCCCCCTACCGCCTTCCCCCCCACGCTCTCTCCTCCCTCCCCTTCCCTCTCCTCCCCCCCCACCCCCCACCCCCCTCCTTCTCCGGATCCTTCCACACATCTCTCCCCTCCGTGCGCGTCGTGTCCAGCTGGACTGCGATGCGGAGAAGGACATGTGTCAGAAGTTCGCCGTCTCCGGCTTCCCCACGCTCAAGTTCTTCCCCGCGCAGGCCACCACCCCGCAAGAGTGCGCTCGCTCTCCTAACGCGCCTCTCGCTCCCCTTGCTCTCCAATTCCCCCACAACAGCTCTTCCTTTGTCCCCCGTTCGTCCTCGCCTAAAAATTCCCAAACTGTTCCCGATCTCCTCTCCCTTTCCTCCTCCTCCCCCCCCACCCCCCCCACTCCACGCGCCCTCCATCTCGTTACCCTGACCCTGTCCCTCCGCCGCCGTTCCTTCGTTTCGCGACTCCAACCATGTTTTTTTTTTTTCTTTCCTTTTTGTTCTATCGTTTCTTACGCTCTAACCCCCCCCCCCCCCCTCTTCCGCGATGCCTCTCCCGTGCCGCGTCCCAGTTTCATGGAGCAGCGCACGATCGAGAACATCGTCGCGTTCCTCAACAAGAAGCTCGGTACGACTACCACCACCACGCAACGCACAACCACCCGCGCGTGTCGCACGCCCCACCTTGCTCTATCCCTTCCCGCTCTTGCGCCGTTCCGCTGTCACGCTTCACTGTCGTATGGGCGTTAGGCGTTAGGCTTGCGCGCGCACGCTGAAGCTCATACACCCCCACATCCCGTCGTTACTCCTGCCTTCCCTGTCCCTCCTACCTCTCCTGTCCCTCCTACCTCTCCTGTCCCTCCTACCTCTCCTGCCTCTCGTACCTCGCCTGAACCGCCACTCGTACCCACCTCCCCGTTGCCAGCGCCCCTTAGACCAGCATGCCTCTCCCGCCTGCATGTCTCCCGCGTCTGCGTGGCTCTTCGCCGCCCAATGTCCCGCCCCTCTTCCCCCTCTTCCCCCTCCTCCCCACTCTCCCCCCTCTCCCCCTCTCCCCCCTCTCCACCTTCTCCTCCCTCCACCCCCCCTTCCCCGCGTGGCGGAGCAGGCGCGAAGATCGTGCTGCCGACGGTGCCGTCGGACGTGCTGGCGCTGACGGTGAAGACGTTCGACGAGGCCGTGCTGGACCGCGAGAAGCACGTGCTCGTCGAGTTCTACGCGCCCTGGTGAGACTGCTGGGCTATGGGTAGGTGGGGGTGTGGGGGTGTGGGGTGGGGTGGGGGGGTGAGAGGGTGGGGAAAAGAGAGTGTGGGGAGGTGAACGGTGGGGCGAGGAGAGCGTGGGGCGAGGAGGTGCGGGGAAATGTGAGTGCGTGGTGGGAATGATGGTGCAGCTGAGTGAGGCGTGGCGTGTTGCGGTGCGGAGTGTAACCCAACCCAACCACACTGCATGTAGTGTCCGCGTCTGTGTTTACTAGTCCACGTAGAAAGGCATGGTGCAAATCTTCCCTTGGTAAAGCCTTAGTGGCTTGGCGACACCGCTTCAGTCAGCTGCACCACCTTTGATCAGCGCCGTTGATCAGCACCTGATCAGCGCCGTTGATCAGCACCTGATCAGCGCCGTTGATCAGCACCTGATCAGCGCCGTTGATCACCACCTGATCAGCGCACCACATTGCAGACCACATCACGCCATGTCCTCACAGGACGTGACTCGCTCCGCCATGGCCTTGTCCCGCCATGGCTGCATGCTTGCTTGCACTCCCATTCTCACCCACGTCCGTCCTCTCACGGCACTGCATCTCACTGCATCTCGCTGCGCGGCACTGCACTTCCAGGTCTGCTTTCCAAATTCCCTCCCTCCGCCCTCCCTTTGTCGTCCCCCTCCATCTCTGCCTTCTCTCCCATTTCCTCTTTTTTTTATTCCCCCTCTCTTCTCCCCCACTCGCCCCGCCTGTTGTCCAGGTGCGGTCACTGCAAGAGCCTTGCTCCTGTAAGTCTCCCTTCGTCCTTTTCTATCTAGTAGCCCTTGTGTCACTCTAGCACCTTCTCATCCCCTTGCTTTGTCCCTTCACTCTGGTTTGCACCCTCTCTTTTCCATTTGCTTGCACTTGCTATTCCTACTACTTCTTTTCAACTCTCTACTCCTCCCCCTCTCTTGCTGCTCCATTCCCTCGTCCATATATACCCCCCTCCCCCTCCCCCCCTCTCTTCTCCTCACAACCCGCCCTCCCCCACTCCTCCCCTTCCCGCCTTCCCCCTCCCCCTCCCCCCCCTGTGCGCAGACGTACGAGAAGCTGGCGCAGATCTTCAAGCCCGAGAAGGACATCCTCATTGCCAAGGTTGACGCGGATGCCGAGAAGTTTCTTGCCTCCAGGTACGTGCAGTGGCTCTGTGCCAGTATACGTGGCTGTGGTGGGGTGGGAGAGAGAGAGAGAGGGGGGGGGTCAGCCATCGCGGGCTTTCAAGGGTCGCATGTGGTATGGGGAATGCTAGTTTGCTAACATGATACCTTGGCATGAGTACGGGTGGGCTACTCTATCGCGCAGGGTGGATGGGTGTTGTCGGGGTCGTGGGACAAGTTTTGCGCACGACTGGGGTGTGTGTGTGTGTGTACAGGTGTTGCTTCCAGTGCTTATATGCGTATCCTCCAGTGCTGCTTCCAACCTCTCACACTGAGTCCTCACTCCTCACTGCACCTGCATTAAGAGCCTCTTTCCTAATCCTGCCCTCACCCGTTCCCTATCTGTTCCCTTCCTCACCACCCCTGCTCGCTCTCCCCCGTCACCTGTCGCCTGCCACCTGTCACCTGCCACCTGTCACCTGCCACCTTTCACCTGTCACCTGTCACCTGTCACCTGCACCCGTACCAGGTACAAGGTGGCGGGGTTCCCCACGGTGTGGTGGTTCCCCAAGGACAACAAGGACGGCGAGGAGTACCAGGTGGGGCGCGAGCTCAATGACTTCGTCGGCTTCATCAACGAAAAGGCCGGCACCTTCCGCAGCGACACCGGCGGGTACAACAACAAGGTGCGTGCGCGGCACGAAACTGGGGTGTTGTGCTTTAAGTTGACTCGTTATCAACGCCAAGGCGGGCACCTTCCGCAGCAACACCGGTGGGTACAACAACAAGGTGCGCGCAAGGCACGGGACTGGGACTCTGTGCTTTAAGTTAACCCAAAAGAAGGCTTATCATTGAAAAGGCGGGCACCTTCCGCTCCGACACCGGCGGGTTCAACAACAAGGTGCGTGCAAGGCACGGGACTGGGACGTGTCGTTGCCGCCAATCACCAATGGTGGCATGTGTTCGGTTGCAACCAAGTATTTGCTGCTACAAGATGTACTACAGCATCCGGTGTTGTTCTTATGACCGCCTTTGACCCTCCGCTCTCTCCCTCCCCTACCTCCCTGCATCCTTCCTTCCCCTCGTGCTTCTCCCTGTGGGGGAATTCCCGCACCAACCCATGCAGCCTAGAGCACAGACGCACCCAAATCAGCACTTCCACCCTTCCTTGCACTCTCTTCCCAAATGGGCCCACTCACCCAACCCCACCACCTCCTCTCCCCCGCCCTCCTCTCTCTGTCCTTTTCCCTTGTGCAGGCAGGGCGAGTGCCGGCACTGGACGAGCTGGCAGTGAAGTTCATGAAGGCGGAGGGCGAGGAGGCGAGGAGAGCCGTGCTGGCAGAGGCAGAGGCGGCCGTGGTTGCTGTGGACCCCGCCAACGAGCTGCAGAGCAAGTGAGTGCCATGCGTGCCAGGTGAGTGAGTGACATGTCTGTGAAGTGAGTGGGTGTCATGTGTGCAGAGCAGACATGAGAAACTATGTCAGGTCCACATTCTGCTCATCCCTTCAACCAAATCCTCTTTCCTTGGCACCCTGCTTCTCTTCCTTTTGCCACTAGGGGAGCGCCGCACTACGTGAAGGTGATGAAGGCAGTGCTGGAGCCAGAGAAGGGCGACGCTTATGTGGAGAAGGAGGCTGCGCGCGTTGCCAAGCACCTCGCCGGGGTACGTACCCTGTACCCTGTAGGCTGTAGCATCTCTCACTTGCTCCTCCCTCGCCGCTCCCCTGGCTGCAACTGCTTTCCCCGTGAGCTGAGAAGGTCTTTGAGGCGCCTCAAAAGCGCTCCCCTGGCTGCAGCATTCCTCGTGCACGTCCATTCCTCTTGTTCTTCTCATGAATATTGGACTTGCATTCCGCTTGTACATCCGCCCCCCCTGCAGACCCTGAAGCTGCCCACCAGGGAGACCATGAGCCTGCGCCACAACGTCATCTCCGCCTTCCTGCCCCCCCCTCCCCCTGCTGCGCCTGCCGCTACACCGGCTGCTGAAGAGAGCAAGCCAGAGGGTGCTGCTGCTAAGGCTGCTGCAGATGCTGAAGCCACTGCTACAGCTTAAATGCCACCTTTCTACTCGGTTGCTCCGTACCTATCTTAGTGGTGAAGCCAACGGTTTGGCCAGTTGTTTAGACAAGGCAGCAATTTATGCGTCCCTATTATGACTACATGGGTGGAGCTTTGACTTGCTAACAGTATTGTAAGGTTATTTTATCTGGAAGAGACTTTATTTAGCCGCTTTTTCTCAATGCTGGAGAATTTAGATGCTAGAGGAAAACGGTATTGTATGTTCTGATGCAAGCTTCTGGTGACTTGCGATTCAAACGCACTACCGGGACGTCGCCCAAACAGCCACACATCACACTATCTTCCTGGAGGAACCAATAGACCGTTGTGTTATGGGAAGCGCCCCTTGCGACAGCTGAACACAGCGCTTATCCTCGACCTCTTTCTCTCTCTGTCTCCCTCTCCCCCTCTCTCCCCCTCTCTCCCCCTCTCACCCCCTCTCCCCCTCTCTCCCCCTATCCCCCTCTCTCCCCCTCTCTCCCCCTCTCTCCCCCGCTCTCCCCCTCTCCCCCCCTCTCTCCCCCCCTCTCCCCCTCCCCTCTCCCCCTCCCACGCCTCCCATCGTTCCCTGTCGTCTTCCTTCCTCTCTCGCAGTTGTCGCCGTTATTACACCCGTGGCAACTACCACATGCGCGGCGGACCTCGTGTTCCTCCCTGTCGCTCCCCCTGTTGCTCTCCCAGTCGTTCCCCATTCCACTCGCGTTCTCTCGTTGCTCGCGGGCACGGCACCTCGCATGCCAAGGTCGAGGCGCACCGAGTTGGATCCCCGCACCGCACCGCCTGTGACACTAACAGCCCCATCCGCGCCAACTAGGGGTTATGAGGTGGCACTTATGGCTCCGCGAGGACCGGGGGACAGAGGCAAGGCCAGGCACAGGTGGAGAGAGGGGGACAGAGAAGGGGGATGGGGAGGGGAAGAGGCACTGTTGGAGGGAAGAGTTCTGGCATGCGCGTAAAAAAAGAGACGCGGAGGATAGGGTATTTAAAGAAGCGCGGGGCATAGAAATGAGCAGGTGATTTTTGAGTCGACTAAAAATCATCATCGAAATCAGCAGGCATATGGGAATTAACTGGAGAATAGAAGAGGCTCCGTGATGGTGCTGGCGTGATTTCTCTGCTCCCCGCAGCAACTCTACTGGACTTGACTCTACAAGACTCTAGCTCAAGCCCATTCAATCTTGTTAGACGCCGCCGCCGCGGCGGCGTCAGCAGCAGCAGCAGCAACAGCCTTCTCGTGTGCGGAGTCTGCTTTTGAGGCGACTCAGAACCCGACTCTGCTGCCGGCAGTACTCTCAGCCTTGCCACGTGCACCAGCCGCAGCAGCAGCAGCAGCAGCAGCAGCAGCAGCAGCAGCAGCAGCAGCAGCAGCAGCAGCAGCAGCAGCAGCAGCAGCAGCAGCAGCAGCAGCAGCAGCAGCAGCAGCAGCAGCAGCAGCAGCAGCAGCAGCAGCAGCAGCAGCAGCAGCAGCAACAGCAGCAGAAGCAGCAGCAGCAGCAGCAGCAGCAGCAGCAGCAGCAGCAGCAGCAGCAGCAGCAGCAGCAGCAGCAGCAGCAGCAGCAGCAGCAGCAGCAGCAGCAGCAGCATCAGCAGCAGCAGCAGCAGCAGCAGCAGCAGCAGCAGCAGCCGCAGCAGCAGCAGCAGTAGCAGCCGCAGCAGCAGCAACCGCAGCAGCCGCCACCTCAGCAGCAACCGCAGCAGAAGCAGCAGCCGCAGCAGCCGCCGCAGCAGCAGCAGCAGCAGCAGCAGTAGCAGCAGCAGCAGCAGCAGCAGCAGCAGCAGCAGCAGCAGCAGCAGCAGCAGCAGCAGCAGCAGCAGCAGCAGCAGCAGCAGCAGCAGCAGCAGCAGCAGCAGCAGCAGCAGCAGCAGCAGCAGCAGCAGCAGCAGCGGCAGCAGCCAAGGCAGCGGCAGCGGCAGCGGCAGCGGCAGCGGCAGCGGCGGCGGCGACGGCGGCGGCCGCAGTGGCGACGCCAGCGGCAGTGGCGACGGCAGAATTGACGGCAGCGGCAGCAGCGGTGGCAGCAGCGGCAGTAGCAGCAGCAGCGGCAGCAGCAGCGGCAGCGGCAGCAGCAGCGGTAGCGGCGGCGGCGGCAGCAGCAGCAGCGGCAGTAGATCCTAGGCAAAAAAGAGCTGGATAACGAGAACCAGCATTACTAGAGTCATGAGCATACAGAGAATACAGGGCATAACCTATCTGAACCATATCCAGATCAAAGATTGGAACACCACTACGAAGCAAGGTGGGCCAATGGGGTACCTGCACCAAAGGGCCGAAGTGGCGACGGTAGAGGTCGTCCAGGCGACGGTAGCAGCGAGCGGCGGTGTGCCCCGCGTGCCTGCCGATCTGGCCTGCCCGCGGGCTGGTAAGCACCTGGTACGTGCCGGCGCCTGAAAGTTAGGGACTGCCGGCGCGCCATTGAAACCATCGATGGAACAGAGACGGTCCTCTACCTCAGTCAGGGGGGTAGAGAAGAGGTCAAGGGTGAGCTCAGAGGGGTGACGAGCGAGGAGCGCATCGCAGGCAGGGGCAAGGCTAGCGCCAGCTGGGCCGCAGTACAGGCTGCACGCCAGCTAACCTCGAGGGAGCGCAAGTGCACAACTAACTCTGCTATAGTGGTGAAGGACGTCAGGTTGGGGTGGAAGAAAGAGAGGAGGAGATGACAAAGAGTGGCAGACTAGGGAGTGGAGTACCCAGCACGGATGGCCGTCAAGAGGGCGTGGCCTGACCCAGCACCCATAAAGTGGGAGTGCTCGTAAACCGGCAGGCACCTGAGGATGGTGACACGAGCAGTGTCGTGGCGGGATGCCCAGACAGAGTAGGCGGTACGAGCAGCAGCGTGCACAACCTGCTGTGTAGACGTCATATCAACAGAAAGAGCGTCCGGGCAGGGGACAGCAGGGAGCTCACTGGTGACGTGGGCGTCCAGGGACTCGTCGTCGACCCGCTGACTCGTGAGATGCAGGAGAACTGCCTCCGCGCCATGTTGGCGGCAGTGGTGGCAGCTGTGGCCATGAAGATGGAGGAGGCAAAAGCAGGAACAGCGGCGGAAGCTGCAACAGGGGCAGCAGGGACAGGTGCTGCAGTGGGAGCCGGTGGCAGCAGCAGCTGCTAGCGGTGGCGACGGCGGCCGGCCAGCAGTGAGCTGGCTGGCGGTGGCAGCTCGGCAAGCTGGCTTGCGGAGGCGGCTGCGGGCTAGCTGTGGCAGTGGCGGCAGCAGCGGCTGCAGTTGCAGTGGATGCTGGCAGCAAGAGCAGCTGCAGTGGTGGCTGCAGCGGGTGGAGCGGTGGTAGCGGCAAGAGCGGCGGCAGCGGCGGCTGCAGCGGCAGTGACGGCAGCAGCAAGAGTGGTGGCAGCAGCAGTGGCAAGAGTGGCGGTGACGGCAGAGGGAGGAGTAGCAGCAGCGGCAAGGGCAGTGGCTGCAGTGGAAGAGAGACGGCGACAGTGGCAGCTGCAGCAGCAGTGGCAGCTGTAGGCGCAGCAGCGGAAGAGACATCTGCAAGGGCAGCGGCGGCAGCAGCAGCTGCAAGGGCAGCGGGAGCAGTGGTGGCTGCAAAAGGGCAGCGGCGGCAGTGGAGGCTGCAAGGGCAGCGGCGGCAGCAGCAGCTGCAAGGGCAGCAGCGGTAGGCTGCCAGGGCAGTGGCGGCAGTAGCGGCTGCAAGGGCAGCGACAGGAGCGGCGGCTGCAAGGGCAGCGGCGGAAGTGGCGGCTGCAAGGGCAGCAGATGCAGCGGCAGCGGCGGCTGCAAGGGCAGCGGCGGCAGCGGTGGCTGCAAGGGCAGCAGCTGCAGCCACAGCTGCAAGGGCAGCAGCGGCAGTGGCGGCTGCAAGGGCAGCGGCGGAAGTGGCGGCTGCAAGGGCAGCAGCTTCAGTGGCAGCTGCAAGGACAGCGGCGGCAGCGGCAGCTGCAAGGGCAGTGGTGGAGGTGGTGGCTGCAAGGGCAGCAGCTGCAGCGGCAGCTGCAAGGGAAGCAGCGGCAGCGGCAGCTGCAAGGGCAGCGGTTGCAGCGGCAGCTGCAAGGGCAGCGGCGGAAGTGGCTGCAGCAGTTGCTGCGGTAGTGGCAGCTGCAGTGACAGTGGGCGGCAGTAGGCAATGGTAGCTGTGGCAGTGGCGGCGAGTCAGGAGGGCAAAATGGCGGGCTGAGGGCGGGCCGGCAGGCTGGAGCAGCTAGTGCTAGGTAGCTGGCTAGTGTGCCAGCTTGCTAGCTAGCTGGTGATCGAGTTAGCTAGCTAGCGTGCTGGCCAGCTGGCTAGCGTATGGAACGAGCGAATGCTAGGGGGGGAAGGGGGAGTTCCTACAAAGCGTGAAATCGGAGAGCGCGAGGCGCAGGAAAAAAAATATCGATACACTATGAGCGCAAATGTGAGATGTGGAAAAGCCTAACCTAGCTCTATACCATGTTAGAATAGCGCGAGAAAATTGTGACTAGGAAGAGGGGAGGGGAGGTACAAATACAAATAGTTGTGCCCTCTAGGAGATGACCTAGCTAGGATATATAAGAAACATGTCTCCCCTAACTAAATATAGATATATAATAACATATGTTTGTTGACAGCAACAACCACGTCGACCGAGCTAGCAAAGGTAGAGGCAATTTGGCGGTCTAGGATTCCATGGCTGCATGCCCACAAAACGACCAAGCCAGCTGGACATGGCAATGTCTAGCTCGACATTGCTAGGTCGAAACTGGCCGCAGTCCTACAAATCGGGTAGATGCTGGTAGAGTAGCGGGAAAAGTTGTGACTAAGGGAAAATGTCGAGGGATACAAAACTAGGGCTGTACTCACTAAGAACTAAACTAGCTACGAGATAAACAAATATGACCTAGCTAAGCTATATAAATATTTTTTTTGACACATCCCCTAGCCTAGATAGTGGCAGTTCATAAAATGACAGAGTACACTAGGGCAGCACTACTAGTCTGACCTCTGGTGAGGGCAACAAGGCAACTCACGGTAGCACTACTAGTTTGACCACTGAGATAAGAGGCCACAAGGCCAGTCGGCAAGTGTAGCAAGACAACCAAGTATTTTACAAGTTCAAGCAGGTATAGTATGACTCAGAATTCAAGGAGTGGTACTGCTACGGAGACGAGACCAAGTTGAGTACAGAACCGCTGATGGTCACGAGGCGCAAGTGCCTTGGTGAAGATATCAGCGGTGTTGGCCTCTGAGGCCAGCTGTACCACTTGAGCCTAGCCGCGCTGCTGCAACTCACGCAGCAGGAAGTACCGCAGCTGGATGTGCTTCGCCCTATCCTCAAGTCGAGCCTCCTGACATAGAAGGATCATGGCCCTGTTGTCAGCAAACAGGACCGGGGCAGACCTAGGTTGCTCACCTAAGTCAGTGAGCAAGAACGTCAGCCAGCGGAGCTCCTAAGCGGCCATAGCCCCAGCGTAGATCTCTGCCTCACAACAGGACTGAGCTACAGACAACGACATGGTGGACCTCCAAGAGACTGCACCAGCACCAAGACTAAATCAGTAGCCCTGAGACGACCTGAGCGTCTCCGCGTCGTCAGCCCACGACGCGTCTGTGTATCCAGTGAGCACCACTGGCTCCCGTCCTCCTAGCACAAGCCCCAGTCCTGATGTACTCGCCAGATACCGCAGTACCCTCTTGGCAGCTGACCAGTGGACTGGTCGGTGCCTGCCCGTCGCAACAAAGCGAGCCAAGAGACTGATAGGGTACGCTAAATCTGGTCGAACACAGGTCATTAAGTACACAAGACACCCCACCAGCTCTGCGTATGGACCATTATCCTTGATCAGCTCAGCCGGAATAGGAGCAGAGAGCTTGTGATCCACAGGCAGAGGGGTGGGCTGTGCTGAGGAGAACTGGAGACTAAACCTCTGGAGGATCTGCTGCACCATATGGGACTGGGAGAGTGTGATCGTGCGAGCAGTATGGTCACAAGAGATCTCCAAGCCCAGATAGCGCTTCAGCTCCCCCAAGTCTGTACAGGTGTGTCTGCTAAGTATCTCGGCCTTTACTGAGGCCAGTGCCAATCTGTTAGGAGTAGCAAAGATAAGATCGTCCACGTACACTAGAATGTAGAACGGTGTCTAGCCCGTGCGAACAAGCAGAGAGGGATCAGCAAATGATGGAAAGAACTACAGCTCAGTAAGAGTGGTGCGAAGCGTGTCGTGCCACTCACGGGGTGCCTGACGAAGGCCGTAGATAGGACAGCGCAGGCTTCACTCGGTCCCAGGTGGGAAGGACCCAGAGAAGCCTAGAAGGCGTCGGAGGTAGATCTACTCGTGCAAACTACCTTGCAGGAACGCTGTGGAGAACTCGAGTGAATGAAGCTCGTAGTCACGCTGCGCGGCTATGCAAAGAAGGACCTGAATGGTAGTCATCTTCGGGGTCGGGGAGAAGGTATGGAAGAAGTCCACACCCTCACGCTGACTGAAGCCTCTAGCCCGTAACGGGCCTTGAAATTCAGCGGCTCTCCAGGTGCACGCTCCACCCTGTAGATTCACATGCTATCGACTACGTTTGCCCTAGGCGGGGGAACTGCGTCGATGTAAGTGCCTGTGGATTTGTATGATGCCATCTCAGCCTCCATGGCTTGTATCCACTGGGCTGCCCAGGGCCCCGACACCGCCTCAGCGTAAGAGCACGGAATAGGGATGCTGAGAGTGCCTGGGTCGCCCTCTGGAGATACAAGCATGGAGCAGAGATGGGGAACAGCGACAGCAAGGTAGGCCAACTCGTACTGTGTGTCCTCTAGCACGTCCCTGCCAAGGGCAGGTGCAACCCCGATAGACGGAGGACGGGCAGTACCAGAGACCAGAGCGACAACGTGTCAAGGCGGTGGCTAGCAGCAAAGTCAGTGACAGCAGCGACAAGCACAGAGACGGACTTAGGAGGAGCAGTAGGGTCAGTGACAATCGACGCAAGCAAGCGCGAAAGGGTAGGACGAGAAGTGCGAGCAGCGTCGGAGCAAGGTGAGGGGGACGATGGGAGCAATGAAAGGGGAGGCAACGGGAGGGCTGTGACTGGAGAAGCACGCGAACAAAGAACCATAGGGTGGAAACCAGGACGGGGAGAGACAGGACGAGCACCAGAAGGGCGACAGACCCAGAGGGGAAGAACTGAGGGCTGGGACG